GACAGCAATTTCAACATCTCATCGGCAAACCAACGTACGAAGTGGAGGCGTGACTCTGACGAACTGACTTGAGAAGTTCTGCAGCTCCCTTCAACGCCTCGCTGGCTGACTCCGCCCCGTCGTCCATGACATGGGCACGGAAGATGGCAGGCACACGTCCCGGAAGTAGTTCAAGCGCGCTCGGAGCACGGGGTCTATGGGGTAAGTTGGGTTGCACGTTGAAGAGTGCGCTTGGAGCATGGGGTTCATGGGTAAGTTGGGTTGCACGTTGAAAGCTCAAGACGCATTACGAGCCTGCCCACGCAAGGCGACCATCAAGGTCAGTGCTTACAGGCGAATTCATATTCGTGATTCTGAATGGCTCAGGTTTCTGAATGGCGGCAACCATCAGCACCAGTGGCTTCTCCAGCTTGGCGAGTCTTTCTAAAGCTCAAGCTGTCGTCCAGTTACAGTAGGAGCGGGAAGCTCAGTGCACCCTTATGGAAAGGACACGTTGAGCAAACACTGAGCAAGCACGCCTTTTTCACTTCTTCTCTTTCTTCTTGGTTGTCCGGCTTGCCTCTTGCTCCTTGACCTGCGCATTGGTGCATCGCAGATGGACATGGACAAAAAAAAAAAAGCTCGGGTAGGCGACGTGTCAGCGACGTGACAGCCACTCTTCGGCCCCACCTTCTCCTGCAGTTTGTTGGCGAGGGCGCCTTCAAGAGGAGCAATGGAGAGGAACTTCAACTCTAAATAACCCCCCAGATCCCAGCTAGCTTCGATGCTCTAAGCCAGACCTACATCAACTGCCCTGAAGGCCAAACCCATAGCAAACCCCTCAAAAGGAATGGCTCAAAATTTCCAGAGTTTTCTCTAAACGTCTCCCCAAATCCCCAAACGCCCTGGAGGTCACCCCCCAGAGGGCCTTCGAGAGGGAGCTAAGGGGATCCCCTGATGCCCCCAAAAGGGCCTCGCCCATCCTTACCAGCGGATCGATTCACAAGGCCGCTGCCGCGTGAACCCGCCTCAGATCTCTTAGCCAGTGTTCAGAGATGTGCTTAGAGCTTTCGGACTACTCTTTAGACCCTGAGGCTTCTTACAGTTATCCTTTGCATGTGCTTCAGGCGTTCAGGATTATTTGAGCATGACTCTGCAAAGGACTGGGCTGGTCCCTGGGCCCAGAGTTGCCCACATGTCGAAAAGTGCTGCTACTCTCAACCCCATCCCCCTCATCCCCCCACTCCCCCCGATCGAGCAGGAAGAAGCTCCGAACAGCCCCGAAACATCCTGCGCCGGGTGGCAGCGCAGGCCTCCCTCCACTTCTTCTGCTCGGCACGCTGGGCCTGGTCACCACAGCCGTGGGCCTCTGCCTGCAGCGTGAGATCTTTGGGGTTTGGATAGGTTTGGATGGGTTCGGGGTTGATGCAAAGTCTCTGGGCGACATATTTGTAGACATACATACATACATACATACATACATACATACATACATACATACATACATACATACATACATACATACATACATACATACATACATACATATAATATATATATATATATGTACGCATGTAATATTCTTTTATGTATTTATGCATGTATGTAATTCTGTATGTATCGGAAAGCGGTTATTCTCCCTTGCATTTTCGCTAAGTTGGCGAAAACCATTAATCCAATCATTTTGGCCATGTGGATAGGTTAACCCTTGACGAATAAACACATTAACCCATGCATTCATGAAACCTTAAACCCTTTAATCCATTGATCCATGAACACGTTAACCCAATCACTTTGGGCACACGGACAATTTAACCCATTCACCCAGATATTTGGGCCCTATGGGTTAACCCAATAACCCATGAACCCAATGAACCCATGAACCCATCAACCCATCAACCCGTCAACCCATTAACCCATTAACCCATCAACCCATTAAACTACACAATCGTTTTGGACATGTGGATAGGTTAACCCATCAACTCAGTAACCCATTATCCCACCAATCAGGCAACCCATTAACCCATTAACCCAGTCTTGTTGTGGTTCATGGGTTTAGGGTTTAGGGTGTAATGCGTTCCTTGGTTTATCGGCTCATGGGCTAACGAGCTAACGCCTCGCCCGCAAGGTGCCTCGTCTATCTGGCTTCAAGGGTAGGATGGTTCGGGATTTTAGCTTCGCGAAGTGAATCATGACAAGGAGCTTGTGTTTGCAAACAGTGGTGTGTTTGTGAGCACATGCCGTTTCATCGTAAGGTCACTTGAATATTTAAAGACGACCACTCGGACTGGGTAATTTGTTTATATAACCGACTTCCAATGATGTTAACGAAATGAGTTAAGTTATTTACGGCGGGTGGGAACTAGGATGGCTAAGGGGACTTCTCTGTAAGTTCTATGCATGATTCTTCTTTCTGAACATGCTTTCTAAGTTAAAGGTCATTTGTGCATAGCATCAACTTCACACTTTAAACTCTACATGCAATACGCGGCCTGTGCCACACATGCTGCCTTATCTACACACATGTTGCATGACACATGCAGCTTGTGGCTTATAGAAGATGCTCTTAATCGTAGTTGGTACTCACCACACGTTGTTAAAGACAATCATTCATTGGGATGGCTTGATTAGCACAATTGGAGACCACATATACTCTCGCGGCTATACTGTTTTAATTTCCGGAATATTGAAGAACAGCTACTGGGACAACCGGTGCAACAAATAATTGTTCTAATCAAGGGCGGTTTCATTCTGAAGGACAACTACTGGGACAACTGAGGTTCAAATAATTGCTCTAATCAAGGGCGATTTCATTCAGATTGAAAGGTGGGCTTTTTCATAATATTCATTGAACTAAAACTGCAAGTGGCTTCAACTTTAAACCTGATGTCATTTACTATCTTCATCAAGTTCTACTATTGAGAAGGCAAGATAATGCAGGACAGCTTTGCCTTTTATTTTGGTTGCCATAACTCTAAGATTGAAACCTAAATGGTCCGTCAACCAACCCTGCAAGTAAGGTATCTCCATATTAAGTACGTGAAATCATAGAGAACACGAATGGTTCATAGACACGCGTGCGAGTAATGAAAGCGAGCTTCTGGGACAACTTCACGCAAACCTCAAACAATCAAGCTTAAAGATCTGATGCCTCCGAAACCCCCCCCCGCCCTCGGGAGGTGAATTCTCCAGGGGTGGGCACCGTATACGCAACCCCCGCTACTCCACCCTTGGTTAAAGTATTGTTCGTGAATGTATCAGCTTTGGCTTGGTTAGAGTTGCTTTCTGCCTTCCTCATTGTCGATGGCTACGGGCTCTTACTCACTGAGGGAAGGGGGGGGGAGAAATTGCAATACAGTAAAATGACATGAAATAGTTGACATGTTTGGGGTGTGGGTCTAAGGGAGCGTAATACTGGTTTTTGTGTTATGTTTATAAACGCACGAACGGATTGTGTCGCTTATAAACACGTGTCCCGTCAATAGGACAAGAGCGATTAGTATGTGTACTTGTATTTGTATGTATATTTTGAGTTTGTATCTAGAACTTGTATTTATAGTTACATACAGACTGACAAATATCTCATCCCAAATCAGCCCCAGGTTGGGGGTGTTTGGGCAGGGTAGGCTAGGCTAGGGGTGGGTTCGTGAAATGGGATATATTGGGATTGCGTGCATGGGCTGAACAGAAGCGCACATGTCATTTGTGTGTTTTGTGTTGGTCGGGCTTTCCAAGCAGGTGGAAACACTCGGGTGAAGACTCATGTCGCGCACCAATGACCAGAGAGCAGTGCAGCACCGGTAGGAATACGACGGCCAACACATGGACATACATGATCCAGGGCTGGACACCCCCCATGCCATCCCCCCATCCCCTGCGGTTCATGGCCGGTTTTGGGTTAACAGTAGGAGCCCAGTAGGGATGCCTTGAGGTCTTAGTCGAGGGTTTAGGCGTTCCCTCCCCCCCCGCGCTTCATGGTGGATTTAAGGTTTGCAGGGTTGAGGGTTTAGGGTTAGGGGGATACCATGGGGGCAGCGCGGGGGGCGGAGGGATCCCCCCGCCGGGATCATGTGTAGCTTCGGGGTCTTGATAGTAAGAAACGAACCTCTGCAATGAATGCAAAGAATGCAGCATGAGAACCTGTAAGAATCGCGGCGAGTGCCTGGGCATGCTTCAGGCAGAAGCGGCTGCTGCAGAACTTGCACTTTGAGAGCCTCGGGAAACTCTCAGACAGACACAGAGACACACACAGAGACACACGCAGAGACGCACACAGAGACGCACAGACACACTTGCACGCCCCTTTGCACACTTTCTTCGAGCCTCTTCATTTCATGACCCCCCACCCCATGTTGAGGGTTGGCTCTGTCACACCATGCTTGGGTGAGCATGAATCCGACATTGCTCCAGTAGAGCCCTCCATCTCATTTTTCTTGTTCCAGTTGGCACTAGGGTGTTCCGCTAATTTCGGTGCTGCTAGTGAGCGGAGCCCTCACCGCGAGACTGCCACTTCCGGGTGGAGCTGACCGTACACTAGGAGAAAACACCGTAAAAAGACGTATGATACGTTTATTTATTCTCTTGTGGTTGCGAAGACGGCTCCGGAACGACATGGGTACGTCATTCCCTTCAGCAGCCTGTGTCGAAGCCTTCAGCAAACCGACTGCCATCTACAGCCCCACCATTGGCATGTCAACAATGAAACATACTTTTCAAGACACGTGTTCGCTATTGTGCGGTACGAATGGTGTTTAACCCCCATAAACCAAACGATGTAAACACCGCCGGTAGCTCTCCCCGGGGGTCCCCCAGGAGAGCGAAGTGCCGTCGTGAGTGCAGAGATGTCATGGTGACTCGGACGTTTGTCCAACAGCACCATAACAGCTTAGGAGGCCCCGGCACCACATGCACCACATACCCCGGGGTGCGTCTGCCTGAGCTCTAGGTGCTCGTCCCCCCCCCTGTTGTATCCTTCTGATACATTCTGTTTCCATTCAGCCATACCCTAAACCGTATCGAAGTCACTCCCTGGCGCCTTGTCCATCGGCACCAAAATTGGAGACTTCATAAATCCGAGGCAAAATCACAGGCCAGGAGGTCTGAGCCCAGCACGCGTCCATCAGAGTGTTTGTTTTCTCCTGAGATCGCGTCAGCAGTTCAGATTCGAACCTGTTGGTGTTGCTTTGCCAGAAGCAGTGGACTGGGAGGTACAAGCCACTCACCCGATTGGTGTCCTTGCAGTTGGCAAAGCTGCAGATACCCTCCTGGGGCAGTGGGAGAAAAATTTCGCGGGATGCGCTGCCTCCCTAGAGGCAGGCTCACTCATGCAAGTTCACGGCATCACTTCTACCACAAACCGGGCCTCTTTTGTGAACTCCAGCAAGAGTGCATCCAGATCGTCATCATCAGCCGTCGCAGCCCCCTTCTTCGCTGCCCTTTCCTTTTTGGCAGCCTGCACGCACAGAGGATGCAAGCCCAATTCGAATGAAAGAAGTCAACTCTGTTGGGCCTGCTTCGCGACTTTGAGGTCCTGAGTCGCGCACGTGCAAAGTTCACTGGGGCTGTCGCATCACTGGACTTTCATGACTTTCATGTGTTGATCATCTTGAACACTGCCCCTGAAGGTTCCTGAAAGGCTGACACTAGCGCGCGCACTGCACTGCGCATCTAGCGGAATTTCGTCACTGAGAGTAGCTCTTGTTTCGCACTACCGCGGCCACGGCCTTCTATAGCTACTTCACAACCTGCCCAGTGCTTTAAAGGAAGCTACAAAGTAAGATCATCTAAGGATCGGCGTTGCTCTTCTCGATGTCCTTCTTGCGCTGCTCGGCCATAGCCAACTGGCGCTGTCTCCTGTTCATGCTGAGCCATTCTGGCGTCCCTATGGAGACCGTTGCAACAACACAGTGGAGTTGCAAAGGTACGAGCTCTGCAGCGGGCAGACCCCGCTGCAAAGAGGAGCCCAAAGCCCTTGTCATTTCTGTAAGTCCAAGCGCGCGCATTGCCCCTTGCAAGGAATCGTGGCAGCCAGACCTCTCTTCATGCAGGCCAGCAAGCTGTGCATTCACGGCAGGCTGGGGTGGCTCCTGCCATGCACACTGCTAGCGTTAAACCACTCCGGCAACTGAAAAAGACTAAAGAGACTACTAGCAGGTGCAGTTCGGTGCAGTTCGCTTGCTTCAACCCCGGCAATTGAACCCTACAATGTGTTGATCCGTCCTCCGGCGCATGGGAGTTTGCGACAGTGGGCAGCGACGCCGCCTCACTTTGTGATCACACAGTTGGCTGCTGTGTGGCCATTTGGGTTCAGGCCAGGTTCGGGGATGTGGGATGTTCCGGGGGTGAACTTAGGAGCTTACGACTTCATGCTATTTGCATTGTTTCTGGCGCAGCAACGCAAAGCTTGCACCGAACACAGAACAAGAAAAAAACACACCCTGCGCATCGATTCGTACCCCCGCTTCTTGAACTTCATTCAAGTCCCACCCCAGTCTGGTGGTCTGGAGATCTTCACTATCCTGGCTTGCTGCCAAATCGAAGCCCGCAAAGAAAGTCGAAGCCCAAATCCCCTGCCCGGCCCTGCCTGCACTTGCAGCCGCCGCTTTTTACCACTACCGGCCTCGACCACCTCGAGCTGCAGGTCGCCTTGCCGGGATTTGGGACACGAAGAATCTTCGAGCAACTGGGCTCCTCCAGTCTTCAGGATTTAAGCCAGACAAGTGAGCCCATACACAATGTCACAGGTGCTTTGCTTCCAACAAGGCTCCTCGCTGCACAGCACTTTTCACTCCGAAAGGCACGAATACATGCGAGCCTGCTAATCGGCGCAGTACATCCACCTCACAGGAGGGGACAGTGGTATGCCTAGTCTGAGCATCACTCCCTGCTCCTAAAGGTCAAACTGATGTCTTCGCAGAATATATGACTCAGGCTCAAGCGCTTGGGACCTGTGTTCAACCAAAGCAAGCCCCTCACCGCATCTCTTAATGTCGCCTCCGCCGAACACAGAACATAGAACTGATCGTGGGAACTCCACTCAATCAACTGAACCCAGGATTCCAGGATCACCCCCAAGGACCCCCCAGAGTCTCCCAACCTCCTCGTCCGTGGGCGACTTCCACTCTGCAGCAGGCTTGCCAGGACCTGCCAACAAAGTCGTCGAGAGCTAGACCACAGAGACTCTAAGGGCAGCCAAAAACACTAGCCCTGGCTTTTAAAGTAAGCTCAAACACTTTGAACTTTTACCCTGCAGCCGAGTGTCCCAACGAGGCCAGCAGTTCGCGGGCCCTTCGCTCGAAGGCCTCCAACACCGTCTCCGATGCCTCTGCTGGCGCTGGCGCCGGAGGGCTCGTGGCCACTGCCTCCTTGCCTTCCTTGCCTGCCACGGTGTGGCCTTGCAGGACACAAAGGGTTCCCACACTGGTGGCACTCAAGCACTATTCACTAACTGTAGCAACAACAGCTTCCTCATTATCATCCTAGCTCCCCTACTCGTATTGCCATGACAGTCGACACAACACCCATAAAGACGACAGCAGGGGCATCAGCAGAGTATGCCCACCACCACCACCACCATCGTCACCACCAACACCACCACCACCACCAAACGCCTAACACCAAACACCACGGCCGGGGAACGTCAAGAACAATTCCAACACCACGATCAAAGCCACCAAGATCACAACCAAAAGCGCGACCACGTGACAATAGATGACAACGATGACAGCGATGACAACAACAACCATCACATCACCAACAACACTTGCCACCTCCAACATCCCCACCATGTCCCTTGACGCCCAACTATACAGGTTTACAGGCAGGGAAAGGAGTGCTTTGTCCCGATGGAACTATGTTGCGCGCAAGGTTCGGGTTCAGGGCAACCCCGTCATTTGTGACAACCTCATCACGGTTAGTCGCCAGTGCGCACCCGCTCCTCTTTCTTCTCTCCTTTTCTCACTTCTCTCTTGCTTCTTCTCCTTTTCACTTCCCACTTCTCACTTCTCACTTGTCACTTCTCTCTTCTCTCTTCTCACTTCTCTCTTCTCTCTGCTCTCTTCTCTCTTCTCTCGTCTCTCTTGTCTCTGCTCCCTTCTCCCTGCTCTCTTCAGTCTGTCCTGCTGTGTGCACATCATTATGGTCCAAGACTTGTCAACGTGTGTGTGTGTGCGTACGGAAGAATCAACAAGACAGACACCACACGGTGGTGTGGGGAACACATTCGCCAGAATGACAAGAAGCACACACACACAACAAAAAAAAAAAAAAAACAAAGCAGCGCGAAACACAGCCTAACCTTCGCCCCATCATGCCCCATCCCCGGCACCTGGCTCTCCGTGGCTCTCCGGAATGGAAGGGCCATCTTTGGACCAGACCTAGGTCCCCTACATCGCTCAGAAAACGAACGTCTACTAAACGCATCTAAAAGGATGTAAAATCGCAAGAGCACTTTCCGAAATGACACCAATAAAGAATCACAACAGTTGCAGACTGGGCTCCACAAGCCGTCGCTCGCTGCCTTCGCCTGGCCCGGCTGCCCCCGGGTGCAGGATTTTTGAAGCCATCTGGATGGGGTCCATGGAGGATTTTTCAGAGCCAAACTAGGCGTGTTTGGGGAATGGTCTCTTACACTCCTCTCTTACACGCCCTGGATCTTCATCAGAAGTTTTTCTACAGACATATATATGTATATGTGATATATATATATATATGAAATAAACCAGCCACCACCAGTAGAACTAAGATCCTTCTCTCGTCGTGTAATCGCAGTAACAGAACCAGATAAACATAAGACGTGTGAGCCGCGCTGTGCAAAAGTGACAACTCTGTAGCAGTTCTTTGCGTCGCTTCGCTTCTTCTGCGTGGTCACGATGCTTTGTCCCTCCAACCCCCAACCCCTTAAAGCAAAGAGACCCGCAAGAAAAGGCCTGGAAGCAAAACCCTAAGCTGGATCAATGACTGGAAGGACTTTCTGACAAGCCCTGGCTTGGCGTCCCGGGCCTCTGGATTCGTGCAGTAGACCCAGCTCCTTGGCCACCTGATGACTCTTTGGATGCTTCGGGGCCGCTTTCGTGGAGCTTCGTGGAGCTTCTGGCTATGCCGGCTATGCTACCTCGTAGCCCAGCTTCTAAGATAGCGGCTTGATGCTTGAGCGACAAGAAGAACGCAACCCCACGATTTATGATCGGACTTCTGAGCCTCGTGTGCGATGGCACGTTCGTAGGGACTCAGCTTTGCTGGGAACTGCAGCGGCTGGCCAGTGTCCTTGTTTCAGATTTTCCCAGTGCTATGGCTTTCAATAGTTTCATCGGGTTTCAGACTTTGACTCTTTCGTTTACAAATGCAAACATTACGTATGAGGGACTTCTCCTTTCAAACCGAGCGTCCAAGACATGTCGCAAGCGCTTCTGGAACTGCTGCCGGAGCTTCTCCTCCTCCTGGGCCTTGTCTCGAAGTTTCTCCTTCGACTTGTCCTCGGATTGCAAGACAGCCTCTGCCCTCCTGCCGGTCCTACCCGTTGTTGACATTGGCCTCTTCTACTGTGAGATCTTGTGTGCTTACCGGGGGGCGGTGGTTCTGAGCAGGGCCTGTCTTCTCTCTTCTTGCACGGCAGCAACTGTGGCAGGATCTGCTGGGACTCCACCCTCTTCATCCAGCAACTGCTGCACGAAGGCTGCGCGTCCATGGTCACAGGCATAACCATAAAGCGAGCTGAGGACATCATCATTGCAAATCGTGCTGGCATCTCCCACGATCAAGACGTGCTTCCTTGCCCTTGTGACTGCCACATTCAAACGGCGATAGTCCGACAGGAAGCCGACAACTCCATGCATGTTGGAGCGCACCAGTGAAATCAGAACAGCATCTGCCTCTTGGCCTTGAAAAGAGTCGACTGTGTTGATGCGTGGACGAATTCCGAGAGTCTCCATGTCTGCATCTGCCGCGAAGTCGGCACGAAGCTGCTCAACCTGGCGGTTGTACGGCGTGATAACGGTGAAAGCCTCGGGTCGGAGCCCCGCTCTCACCAGAAGCTTGGCGTAGTGGACGACAAAACGCGACTCTCCCGGGTTACATCTCGACTGCTGGATGTCAGACCGCGAGGCCTCGCCGTCCTCACGGTACATAGGTAACCCTGCTGTGTCTACGAAGAGCATCGGGGCAGTGGCCAAGTCCAAAACCTCGGCGTTTATGTTGAAGGAAGGAACTTCCTGCAGACTGAGAGTTTGGCTTGCGACGGACGGCGCAGCTTCCAAACGCGATCCATAGAAAGAGCTGGATGACCAGCCCATGATCTTCTCGTTGGACCGGTACTGGATAGAGAGGAGTGAGGCCACGTCGTCGCCGAAACTTTCAATAAGCCGCCCAAAGAGCGTCTCATCCAGACCTGAGGCTGCATGCAATCCTGCATGTGCCTTTAAGCTACAACCGCACGAATGATGAACTGATGACTAGCTAAACAGGAAGCCACTTTCCGAGCATATTGTTGGACAATGGCAGTAAGTTGTCTTTTTGCTACTGTTGCCGCTGTTTCTGGTTGCTGCTGCTGTTGGTGGTGGTGGTGGTGCTGTCAACCAGAACCAGGTCCAGCTTATTTTCTCTGTTTTGACTGCCTGGTAAGGGAGCTGCCGCTGCCGCTGCGGCTGTCAGGCCGTATGCGAAAAGTTCGAATGCCGATAAGAACATTTCGCCAGGACTCCAATGCCAGAAGGAGGCTGGCGAAAAGCTCCGGCTCTGTTGTGCCTTGATTTCTCACAAGCATTGACCATGCCCTTACACGGGCGAAACTTCGGAACCGGGTTCTCTTTCGTGGCAGCAGTGCATGACAATGCTGTCTGTTCGCTGCGGTACGGCGACAACAGCGCTGGGTCGAAAGCCAAGTGCGCGTACCAGCGCGATGATGCGGGTCCCCGAGATTCCCAGTGGATAGCGGCTTTAGCACACGTGCCAATGCAAAAGTGCGCCAGGGACTTCCTGCGATTATCTCTGTCATGTCTTTCGAATACATAGTCCAACAAGTTGTCTGTTGAAGGACATGCAAGGCAGTGTGGTGGCGACGCTGTTCGAAGCTTTTGAGATGCCATCGAATTCGTTCGCATGGCAATGCTCACCTGTTCGGAATGAGGTGCACACAGGCGCACCTCGTACCGATCTTCTGAAATTCAAGCTCTCGATCCTTCCGCCTGCTTCAAGTCTCCCAACCCTCATTCCATTTTAATGAGAAAAGCCTCATAGTGGGATTCTCAGTCTTTCAAGTGCAGGTGGTGGCGGTGGTGGTGGTGGTGGTGGTGGTGGGGGCGGCGGCGGCGTCGGCGTCGGCGGCGGCTGTGGTGGTGGTGGCGTTCTTGTTTTTGTGTAGTTAGTTGTTGGTTTTGTTGTGGCCGCTTTGCTGTGGATGATCTTTTGGGCAGTGATCATATGAGGATAACGTTTGCGAGAACCGTAACGACAGCGATGGCGAAAGTGATAAAGATAAGGATCATGATATCTACGGTGCTGTGTATTTTTGCTTTGTACTCCACATGAACAGGACACCTCCGCCTGAGAATGCAAACAAAAGATGGTGAGCTCATGTCTCTTCAAAGGTCAGAAGTGCAAGCATCTTGGATCCTCGCCCTGCTTCTGGGCTTCGGCCGACTTCACACAGGCCGCAAGCTGCTGGTGGTCACCCGCCAAGACACCCTGCAAGGTTCAGGGATGGGTTGGCCGTTGTTCCCTTGACCACTGCGATCATGAAAATTGGGTCAGAAAAATCCGAAGACTACGCAGACCTCACATGTTCAGGGTGCCAGACCTTCTTGCCCAGGAGCAACGGGATCCAGCAAGCCACCTGTCTTGAGCTTAACCCCCCTGCTGTCACTGCCGTCCCGAGTAATCCAGCATGATAGTCCGACATGGCGAAGGAGGCTCTGCGTCAATGCGCGCGATCCTAACGCAGCCCTGAGATGCAGCCCTGAGATGCCTGAGATGCCTGAGATGCAGCCCTAAGATGCAGCCCTCCTGCTTAACCGGGGAGTCCACCTCCAGGGCTTGCGCCGCCTCGTCGATGACCACCACGTCAAACCTTAGGCTCCACATGCTGCTGCTTTCACATTCATTTTCAGCCATTTTTCAAGGATTCCTCAAAGGCCCTAAGGCGCTAGGGCGGAATAGGGGTGGAATGGAAGCCGCCTGCATGACCAAAGTCTTCAACCACAAGTAGGGCATACAAGGCAGTTGCGCAACAGACACAACCTCGACCAGCGGCAAAGGCCTACTGAGCTTGCATTCTTGTTCCGCTGAGCTACGACTATAGCCTCACTAGCTTCTAGACGTCCACTTCCATGCAAACCCCGGCCCCCTGCAATTTAACCTTCCCCTAACATTCTCCATTGAGGATCTGGGTTACCCCCCGCCGATTGCTTTGGAACTTTGACCAAAGAAATGACATGCGCCACCCGCGCAACCACCCGTGTAGCCACACAACAGCTGCGTGCCCTCGAATCAACCTGGCCGCTCGTGCCCAGGAGCTCCAGGGATGCGGCCCCCAAGCCGCGCCTGGCGCAGGATTGGCTTGAAGGCTGCTCAAGCTTGCGGGCTTGCCAGACTGTAAAATCACCAAATCGGGGCCGGATCCCGAATGAAACAGGTTTGCCTTTCAGGGGTATGTACATGCAACCTGGTCGCTTCTGCTAGTCTTGCTGGTTTTCGCTTTTTTGCTGGCAGGGAGGGGGGGAGGTGCAGTTCCACGGTGGCTGTTTCGGTGGTGAAGAGGGCTGCCAAATTGGCCTACACATTCTTGCAAATCCTTGCCGTGGTCGAGCACAGACTATTTGTGATCGCAGAAGATGCAGAAGTTCTTCCAAGACTAGGTCGCAAAGAAACAGGCCCCGCAACATCAATCCTTGACTCCCACTCCGGATAACAATTATGTAGGCCTAATGGCGATGGTTCGTGAAAAGTGACCTGATCTCACGATGGAGGACTGCGGCACCGGTGCATGTGGCGAAGACAACCTCGGGAAGTGGACCGGTGTGGCTTTGGACTTTACAATCGCCAAAACAAATGTTTCTCGAAGCTTCTGCTAAGCGGAACAAGCGCGTACTGAAGATCACCAAAACTAAACTCGATCCCACAAAATCCTTGCGCACGGGCCTGTACCATCAATGTCCGTCCTGAACCCCCTGGACCAGCAAACCATCCCGCACGAATACTCTCATGGTACCTGCGTGGTGCGCAAGACCTCCGCCACAGCACGCCGCTCACGCTGGCGGAGTTCTGTTCGGAGCTCCTGCAACCCTACTCGTCCCACTCTGGAAGTTTAAAATTGGAGGGCAGTACTCTTGCAGTGGAAGGAACTCTCACTACTAGTAGTATGGGCTCTGCCTTGACGAAACTTCATTGTTTGCAACCGCCTTTGAAAAAACCTTTGGAATGCGAGCTTTCCTGAAATTTCCTGAACTCGTTTTTTGGCCCCTGTGCTTGCTGAAACCCTGAAACACGAACCCTGAACCGCCTTAGCCTATTCGGCACCAGTGCCCCCCTCCAACCATGCCCTCCGTGAGGCCACTAAGCCACTGGCCCCTCCTTCCCCCTAACTTAACTTCCGCACCGTTTTCCAACCGTCGATCTCTCCATCTATCCTTTACGATCGTTCGTTCTGTGCTAGTTGTGAGCTTCCGGCAGTAGAATCGCCCATATCGATCCTGCTATTCCCTTACCGCCCTGGAGTTCCCTTCTTTAAACTGCACCCATCCCACTCAAAGAACTCAGAATCCGGGCCGAAGTATAGGTTGAATCTCCCCACACGCCGGCCCCCTTTTTTGGCCTGGAATGGGTACCAAGCGGACGCCCCCTGCCCCTCTGCCCCCCTGCGCCCCCCAATTTTGCTTCCGCTGGTGTGAGCCTTCTGTGCAAGCCGAACCGTCTAAACCCTGAACCTTGAACCTTGAGCCTTGCACTCCAAACCCAAAAACCCTAAACCCCATAAACCTTGAGCCCTAAGCCCTCAACCCTAAACTAACCCTCAACCCTAGACCCGAAACCCTAAACCATAAACCCGGAACCCTAAACCCTAAACCCAACCCTTCTTGCTTGGGGTCCAGCGACTTGGGCGCTGCGGAGTCAGCATGCTCACGATGTCACGCAGATGCGCTGGGCCGGGCCGAGGCGGGTCGCGTAGCGTTGAAGTTACATACGTTTGCACACGGTGATCACTGGAAATCACCGGCTTGCAGAATTTCAGGGAAGTCCTTGAGGTTGCTCCAGGGCTTGTTTGGCACCTGTGCCTTCTTGCCCCTCACCTTGCCCAGGATCTGGTCGATCTCCTGAGGAGGAGCCGAAGAAAATCCTAAAGCTCTCAGCTCTCCTTCTACCTCCATCACTGTCCATCTATCACTGTCCATCTATTCACTGTTCCCGCCATACTTGTCTCCACTATCCCCGCTCTCCTTCTTGATGTCGCGGCAGAGCTCGGCCTGGTCGGAGGCATACACCACGTTGTCCATGGTGAACTGCTGAATGTTCTCCTGTGGAATCCGGCTGAGTAGCTCTGAGCTATCTCTCAAAGGGGGAAAAGGGGGAATCCCAATAGCCAAGTACACCAAGGGCGGAAGGGGTGGACAGCTAAGAGGGAGTAGGGAGGGCTTTATTGAGGTTTCACGGAATAACTTTTGAGGAACATCCCGCGGAGCGACAGTGCTTGGTGTCCTGTACCCTTGCTGGGTGCCCCAGACGGACCAACGACCGACAGCCTGCATCTGCTAGGCGCTCCAGGAGATTATCCACCGCAACATTCGAGGGAGCGGTAACTAGCAGCCGCTGCTTGCGGTAGACGGCCTCCAAAATGTACGACACCAGGGTGGTAGTCTTTCCCGTTCCCGGTGGTCCATGAATAACCGCCACATCAGCTGCCCGCAAGGCCTTCACCACAGCTGCCTGCTGCGGCTCGTTCAGCTGGTTTGCAGATTCAGAGAGGAATGTGCAGTCGACTGCATCCGCACGGGCACAGGCCTCGGACTTTGCTTCATAGAAGCGAGGCTTCGCATCCCCAAAGCACACGCCAACGAGCGCGGAGGCCGGGCTGCGCGCGCCGCTCTTCAGCATGTCTAAGGCTTCCTTGTAGCGTTTCAACGTCACATCCGATGAAACCAGGGCAAGGTTCAAGAGCCGGCCGTCGAGGACGTCCACGGGCACGTCGCCGTCGAACGCCAGCTGTATGGTCGCCGACCGTATCCGAGTAGCCACGGCCGATGCCAAGGGTACCGCTTTAGAAAGCGGCCGACTGCCCTGATCAAAGATTCCGACAATATCACCATGGCTAATCTTGTGCGAAGGCAGGTCTCCTGCCCCAGAGGACCGTTCCAGAGTCAGGCAGGCTCTCCCATACAGCGCAGTGGACTGCTCGGCAACACGTAGTTTCAGGATTGCGAGCCCTCTGGACTGTAGCTCTGCTTGTGTACAAGATAAGAGAAGCTCCTGCTCTGACTCAAGAAGCTCACCATAGAAAGGAAGGGAACTAGGAACAGAGCAGGTTTCCAAAACGATCCCCTCCATGTCCAGAATGGCACCAAAAAAAACTGCCAATCTGCTAATCTGCCGAGGAGCTGTTGTCTCCTCCTCTTCTGCGGCCTTTTCAAGAGCCAGTGCTCCCTCGCACCAGGCAGCAAATGCCCCAGGATCTTCCCGCTTGAGCTTGCCAGCCATGGCGGCATGCGGCAATCCCTCCAAGTTGGAAGCCAGGCTGATTACCGGGAGGACTCTATGACTTCAGGGCTGTGCTGTCTACATGGGGTGAGAATGCAGACTCTTGTCCCAGGCCTCAGCCATTCTGGATTCTGGACCTCCGGAAAGACCACACATCGGTTTATGGAACCACTCACTGCCCAAGGCACAACAGGACGGCCGCTAAAATTCATTACATGCGCTGATGGCTGCACTCCAATTACAGAGTCTGCGCCCTGATGCATAAGCGACATTTTTCACTTTTTGCGCCGTCGACCACTCACCGCAGCCTGGTTATGAGACGGCTGGCCAGGCCTAAGCCAAGCATTCCTATACAACGTACAGACTACGAACGAAGCCTTGCTAGTTTCTGCCGGGTTGAAGGCTGAGGCAGAAGTGATTTCATGCGTGGCTGAGGGGTGCATGAGTCGCGGAAGTATGATGCACCAACCAGCCAGGTCTACGAAAAAGCCGTGTGTAGTTGCAACACCTCTGAAACAAGCATGAAAACAAGCTTTGGAAACATCTGCAATCAAGGTCAGTTCTCGCATGTGTCCCGTGCGCATCACAAAACATCGAACCACATGAGCAGCACGGTATATATAGTGCTTTTGTCATTTCGCGCAGATCTTGAATGCTTCCCCTTCCCCTGTGTCCAAGCATCCGATGTTCATGGTTAGCTTTCGGGGTGATATTCACCGAAGAACTGACAGGTTACTCCACGTGCTTTTTGTTCTGGGAACATTGGATCTAATCTACCTGACTGAGGTCCTTTTCAAAGCCTGCCCAGAAATCGTGCTCCCGAAGTCCGTGCGCTCGCAGTTTTGTGTTGAAAGCACGTTTAAAAGCGAATGCAAAACATCCGGTCTTTTCAACAGTCGGCAGTGCGTGGACGAGGGTATGATGCTACAAGGGCAGGAGGGCGGGGCATTGGGCATCATAGGACACTTGACAGCGATTCTGCTGACAACTCTTATTCCTCAGACCATCCATACATCCGTTCTCTTCACCAGGATTACTCTTAAATCAAAAACCACGCAAGAGCCCGGCTCCCGAGTTCGGAAAGCTCGGAAAGCTCTGTTTTCCAAGGTGTTTTTCCAAATCCTTTGTATTGATCGCAAATGGAGCCACAGCTCCTTTAGCATGTTGGCCGAAATGTCCGTTTTTATCGGATTTCGCCATGATCTCGAATCCCCCCCGAAGTGAAAGGCCCATGCCGACGAGACAGGGACTCAGGAGACCGACATGGCATTTAATGTGTGGGACATGCTTCTTGAATCTTCTTGGCTTCTAACCCGCTTCAAAGTAGCAAGTGGTCGGGTGTGGGTTCGGGTGACAGACGCCAATAATAACTCTTGGTGACGAGTCTTAAAACTGAGCGTATCAGCGCAGTAACCTAGTAACCTAGCCCCAAAATCAAGCTGTGAAGCAACTGCCTCCTTCCTTGCGTTTGGCAGACCCCGTTTGGACCAACACTTGTGAGATGACAGGCTCACGATAGCGTGTCTTCAAATGGCATACAATGCCTGTATATGTATGGGCTATGGACTGCCGACAGATCGGCTCCCTCAGCAGTTTCGGTTGACACTCCATGAGGTCGTGTGGTCCGTACCGGAGCGCTCTGCTACTTTCCTCGGATGATTTTCCTCGGAAATCTTTGCTAGAGTGCACACCTGAGCGTCTAAGAGAACAGAAGCGCTGATGCATGAAACTGTGGTCTTGGGCTCTGATTCGTCTCAGGGTACATAAGCAGACTTCTCCTGGGTGTGCGCTCTCACCTCGGCACTCGGCCATGAAAGGCCGACATCCTGCATCTGGGATGCCTCGGTCCTGCGAACCTTCTGTCGCTATGCTGAGTTCATTAGTCATAGTTCATTGAGCAGCTGAATACCGAGAACAGTCTCATCATTTCGGCGCTGCCCACGTGATTCGCGCGCTCCGAATTCTGGACACAACCAATAGGAACACTTGGTGCTAGCACCGTCGCTGGAGCTATACTGCTTGACTTATGATGTGATCCAGATGACGCCCTACAGTCAGTAACGTTCATTGGCGCCGGGGAACGTCGCTTCGCAGATGCATGCTGCTGATCTCCACCCATCAGGCCCCAAGTTGTAAACAACTAGCGAAGCACCCCAACGAAGCACAACAGCAAGCACCACACATGTGGATGACATAAAGCACAATCATGATTGCTACAAGTCTGAATGCTATTGATATGACGACACGACGATGACGACCACGATGACGATGATAGTCGGAAAGCAGGAGGAGCATGATGATGCCGAGAAGACGACGAAAACAAACATCAACCAACGTTCCCACACTCGTACCGCGTCAACAACTGGAATACCTAGCAATATCGCGATTATCTTCAAGAATCCTACGCTCAGAACTCCGCACCCCAGAATCTATGAAGTTCTGAAACTCGGCCGTGGCCAATCGTCGCCAGCTGCTTGCATCACGGCTGCAAGCTCACCATTGTTGGCATGTTTCCGGAATGGCGTACCTGACAAATAGAACAACTGCAAGTGGCATTGTCATGGACTCGTGGACCTCAGCCTTCGGCGTTACCTTACTTCTCAGCAAGACATGAGTACTCTCTTCTAGGCATCAAAGTGCTTAGGCTCTAGGTCCGCATCCGCAGCATGACTCTCAGCACGGAAAACCTGCAGAAGGCATACAGAACTGTCCAAACGAAAACCTCACGAACATGTGACATCCCGCGGGTGCCCCTGCTCAAGTTTAGAAGCATGAGTCTGCTATTTTCTCTTTGTCATAGCTGAACTTTCCATGCAGGCGCATGAGCTGACTTGATATACATGTGTTGACATCGTGGCGGTGGGTTTTCATGTAGCCGTGGCATTCGTGTCGGACGACATCTGCTTCCCTGCGTGTCTGATCAACCTGCAACGGTGCATGATACCTGCGCCCGCTTTGTTCGCGAGCAAGACAGCGAAGTGTCATGAAGCAGGGTAGGATACAAACCCGGATGCCTCTTCATACGCAACAGGCAGCCTTCGCGAGCCCTACCTGGCCTCACTGTACATACACGACCTGGTCATGCTAGCAGAAAACTGCCGGCTCGCAAGTTGACCTCCGCGACTTTGGCGTTGTCATACTCTCCCGCATGTTGATCTCAGGTCCACTTGAAGCACCGCACGCCCCGACGCCTGAGGCCCGACGAAAAAAACAGACACGAAGTGGGCACCACTACAAGTACTGCATCTGCTGCATCTACTTGGAATGGTACAACCAGCTTCAGTTCGAATCTTGCAGGCAAGCTCAGAACGAAGCGAGCACTAAAAGTCTGAGAAGTTCTGCATCTCCGCATGACACTAGTGCAGCAAGGGGTCGCATTGAACGGCGATATCTGCTCCTGCTGCAGAACAGATATGGAATGATGGGTGCACCAGTCAGTCTCTGGGCAGGCTAAATGGACCATGAAACCTCGTGCCTGAACCAACCTTTGCCAAGCCCGCCAACCCTTTCGGCACGCACGGACCGCACCATCTGTGCGAAGTCCACCACATAGATGTGACCCGCGACCGCGATCGGCTGCAACGGCCCGCCTGCAAGACATCCCAAATCTAGGAACGGCAAAGAGATTCTAGTGTCTTCCTTACATACCTCCTGTGAACCCAACAACATGCTCAGACAAAGTCTGCAAAAGAGGAGCTTCCATCACTACCACAGTTTTTCACGAGTTTTCATGCGGCCTGAGGAGGATTGGTATGCTGCATAGGAGCTCACCAGCAGACTGTTCGCCTGAGTCAGCGAGTTGCAGCGCAAGCTCGTCCAAAGAAGAAGAAAAGTCACAAAAATCTCGCTTTTCGCCGGATCTTATGGTTTTTCCGACCAGGGAACAGATGCTGGGTGGGACATCAAGTTGTGTGCATATAGCACCATTAAGTTTGATCCAAGTCCAAAATACCGTCACTCCCACAGGGAGCTGCGCACTGCAGGATATCCCAAAGCTCCACACACCATGACGCATCACCAAGCATCAAGGGGGCTTGCGGGGCCTGCGTGTACCCGGCATCATGCAGACCAGGGCATGCGCATCAGCCGCATCAGGCTATCACGTGAAGACGATGGTCTGCACAGCAGCGAGGCGCATCTGAGGTGAAGGAAGGATTGCTGCAGACAAGGATTATACCATGCCTCAGGACAGCACCTCATTGCTGTAGTAGCGCCATTGCTTCTTGCCGTTGCTTCCGGCATCCCACTGGAAATACATCTTGCCATCACCTTTCCTGGCAGCGAACCATGCAATGTTGAATCTTGAAGCATGGTGGCCGCAAGCACACACACGTGGGAGAGAGAGAGGGAGAGAAAAGCAATAAATCATAAACACACATTCATAAAGAGGACTACTGCAAGAGAAAAGCTGGCAAAGCTCGGGCATCAATCTTGATGTCCAAACTCGCAACATTGACCCGAAGACAACCACGGATCCTCACACAGTCAACCTCTTACCCATCAACGCGACCTTACCATCCAAGTGGCGGGAGCGCCGCCTGCAAACATCCAGATTTACGTTTTCAAGCATTATGCGGAAGAGCCTCTGGGTCGTGTGGCGGGGTCATGCTTGCGGCAAGAGTGTCGAGTCCAGTCCAAGCCTTGTCGGCTTCATGGGCGGGCCGCAGCTTTGGCGGCCACCAGCACTCTGCATGTGCGCCAGTGCTAAAAAGATTCCGGAAAAAGCCTGCCAAGCAATGCAACATCATGCAAATGCATGCAACTGAGGGTTCTTGCAGCAACCAGCTGACTTGGTCACACCAGCACGTCAACACGAAGTCGATGCAGCTGCTGCCGCTCACACATCCACAACATGCAGACCTGTCCTGCGTGCACAAAGGACACATCAAAGTAGCTGTGGTGCGATCGGTTTCGCTTCTTCGTCGGCCTTCAGATGCAGAACAAGTCGGATAATGAAGCAAGGAGCTGAGGTTACTGAACACACGATCGAGAAAATGGGCGGCCCGAAGCAGAAAACACGCCCAGCGCATTCGGACAGCGCGACGGGCTGAATCCGAAAACGTGGAAGCCGAGTCAGAAATCGCCAAGGACCGAAATAGCCGCAGATACCCATCGCCAAGAATCAACAGGCTGTTCAATCGACGGGTCGTGCTCGAAGGCTCCAATCGGAAAATGCGAAGGCATCGGTCCAAAAACAAGGAAAAGTGTCGGGCCCGCTGCTAGCGGATTAGAAGAAAAATGTTTGGCTATTTGGTCATTACGGCGCGTTTTCTACCTTTCATGTTTTTGTGACTGACACCTCCGTTTTTGAATGATGCCTTGGCATTGCCAGACTGCCGCGTTCGGACGCGACCAATGACCAGATGACCAACTTCTCTCTCGGCGTTTCTCGCTAAGCCTTCTCGTTTTCTGCTTTTATGCGCTTTGGCTGACACCTTCGTTTGCCGTCCGATTGGAGCTTTCGGACCAAATGACCAAACTTTCTCCTGATCCGTTTGCCACTGCACGTAGCAGTTCGAAGCTCGTTGCATTTTCGGATGAGGCGCTTGCGTTCTTTCCCCTAACCCCTAACCTGCGCGACAGGGCTTCCGTTTGGAAATTCAATGTGGAAGGCTGAGCCCTTCTGCAGTTTGATGGAACCAGTCCGTTTTCGGATCGGAGCCTTGGAGATCTCAGATGGCACGTGCGGTTATCAAACAACATGGCTAGCATGGCTTCCTGCCGAACCTGCTTTTTTGGACGGGGCCCGTTGGTTTTCCAATTGGGGCCTGGCTGTTTTCGGACTGGGTCCCCTGCGTTTTCTGATCCATCACTGGGTTTTGCGACTCGTCCCCACCGGTCTACTCAGATCTACTCGAAAAGGTTTACTGACTCAGCCCCGCGTTTTTGGATCGATGCTACTCCCCACACAACTAACGGATAGTGCTCCAAATGCTCCAAGGTGTAGGCTTGGTGTAAACTCGGTGCGCCTGAAGTCCTGCTCATCGGCCTCGAGCCAGCGGACGCTGACCTGGTGGGACCATTTTCTGCAACCACACAAAGAGGCACTGACAAGCACTGCAGCCGGGCGATCAGGCACGCAAACTCCAAAACTCCCCCCTCGAAGTCTAAGTCCACACCCGCCTGAGGCAGCCCGAGCTCCTTAGAGCAATCCCCACAGATGCACTACGCAGGCAAGGCATGGCGAGGCTGGCGAAAGGAACGGACGGGGGCCTTGTGGATGTAGGCTTAAGCTAGCTCTAACCCACAAATCAAAGCGACTTCTTCTGGGGCCCCCCGCGACTCCCAACAAGGCTTGTTGCAGTTCCCCCCCCTTTTATTTGCAGCTTGTGTTTGCCACTTCTTGTGCCAAAAAATGAATTGTCTCTCTCTGCAGGTCAAGGTGCGCCCTGGCGCCGGCCCAGCGCCTCCAGGATCTGCTGTGCATCGCGGGGATCGGACTCCTGGAAGGTCTGCTGCTGGGCCTCTCAGCTGGGCCTGCTCGGCCTCTGTGCTGGGCCTCTCTGGGAGTCCTTGAAACCTTTGGAGAGGTGGATCCTAAATTGCGATCTGTGCGTTCGAGGGCTTTCCGCATAAGTTCGTTTTGGCATCTGTGAAGCCGAGCGCGATGAGCCCAAACTGAGAAAACACGCCAAACCTCAGCCAAACCTCTCTTCATTCCAAGTCCTGGTCCGTCTTGCCGTGCACCGCGCCGATCCATCGGGCACCTCGATGCAAAGCAGGATTCGTCGGAAGGCTTCTACCACACAACACCCTGCACTGAGAAGACGTCGAGCCCCAACATCCCCCCCGAAAGCGGGCTTTAAAAAACGACTTGAAGAGCACCTCCGTGGTGGGCCAAGCGCTCAAGAAAGGCTGAGAACTTCTGCTGGGCTTCGAAAGCCTCCCCAGTTGCACGTCAAGCACAGGAAGCAACTATTTTGACTACACCATGCGGACTGCACCATACTCGGACTGCTCATTGTTCAACTTCATTCAGATGACTGACATCATGCTGGCACGCTAGGCGAAACCCTGGAACTGGAAGCTCTGGAAAATTAACCTGCGACCATACAGCGTTCTATGTCAATGTTCTGACACGGCTCCTGGTGTCCGGGCACGTCGGGCCGATTGTCGAGATGCCTGGCAATGCGTGCTGTAAGGTGCCGCTCATTGTGTCTCACGCCGGCTGGATAATCGTGCCAAGACTTGAACGGAGCATAGCGCAAGCAAAGGCTGCAGGCAAAACGAGCACACAAAGAGTGCACAACTGTGTGCAACGGCAACTAGAGTCTTCTCTTCCTTCCTCCTTCTTTTGAGGCCGCGGCCCCTGGCCATGGCCGTGGACTCCACCGAGGCCGGCGCCGCAAAGGCGTAGCCGGGCCCGGGCGAGGACCTCCGCCCTGCAAAGAGAAACGTAAAGGGGGGAGAGGTGGAAGACGTGGAGGGAGACATGGTTTTCCAGGCCGCTCCCCTTCAAGTGTTTTGCTGCCTTGGCCAGGAAACCTGCTGCTTCACAGGCGTTTACGACCACTCCTACCACTCCCTTGAGCACAATCCCTCGCTTGCAACCGCTAACAGGCTGGCTGAGTGGCCGACACGGCATAAGCGCCTGCGGAAAAGCCGAACACGCCAATCCGGTCGCGGTCCACGCCCGGAAATTCAGACATGCCCGCGATCCAGTCGCAAAACAAATCAACCGTGTCCTTGCAGCAACTTGCAGGCAAGGAGGACAGCTGAACCAATGGAAGAGAATGGAAAGAAGTTTGCCCTATGTGCCCCGAACCTTCACAGACTGCTTTGCGACATGTGTTCAGCCAGCGTTTAAAGACTGAACATAAGCAAGCCGCTATCTGAAGGTTGCCACGGACCCATCCAAGCTCTGATCCATCCTGCGTCAGGACAGTCTTGACCTTTCTCAGCCTATCTGCAAAGGAGACCACGACATGCCCGGCTTTTTGAACTTCTCTACCACAGCGGCACCAGCACTTTAACACTCGTGACGAAGCCACCCTGCAGCTTGCGATGGGGCACCGTGCATGTTAGAAAGACGCGGCGCGAAATGCAAGGGCGGAACATGGCCAGAATTGCATGGGCTCGGAGGCTGCACATGGTCATCAACAATGATGTGAGACTCCCCTAGAAAGCCGCTCAGACACTGAAAAATTCTGAAGCAAAGGGACAGTAAACTCGAAGCCCAAGCCCCGCAACCCTGGACACTTAACCTGCTGTCCGGGCGGCGTTGAGGAACCACCACTGGTTCCTTGGCCGCTCTGGTGCTACCTGGAGGGCGAGTGGGAATTAGCCCATTTAGCTTCGAAGCATGGACCGTGGACTTAAAAGCTTGAGGGTTCAGGTCCCTTGCCACAACCCTTCAGAGGGTGGAATTTTGGATCCTTGTACCCCCCCATCCCTGAAACCCCCAAATCCGGCGCAGCGGAGAGGGAACCTCCTTTGTAAAAAAAGCCCCCCCTAAGAGCCCCCCCGGACAGCCCTCTGAGGAGTGTTTGGATTTTGGGGCGTCTGTCATGCCGTCTCAAGCCAGAACACCAGGATTTCTTGAGTTTGAACTTCCGCATCCAAGGCTAGATTGACAAATCTTGAAACCTTTCCGCCCCGCCAGCAGGAAGGGCTCTGGTGCAACTTTCGCCCAGTCGGACGCCCGTTCGTGGATCACCGCGGACTTGTCTCCAAGCCCTGAGACGCAAAGCCGGAGAGGATGAGGTGGAAGAGAGCTGAGGCAAGGAGCCAGAACCATGAACCTCAAAGCCTGAGAGCCTGTGAACCTCAGACTTCCCCGAACATAGCCATTGTATTGCAAGCCGCGCGTCCTGGAAAGTACACCGCCAGCGGCAACTTCATGTCCCAGGTGGGCGGCCTAGCAAGTCAAGTCGGTCAGTCCGTGATCCCAGTTCTCCCAAAAACCGCTTAACCGCACAAAGGCAACACGCACCATGTCGTAGCCACCTCTCAGATGTGCAGTGTGTGGCATGAAGTAGCTACACCTGAGGACCAACACGACTGCAGTGCCACTGCACCTTAAAACCTGTGCTTGAAAACTCTGTGAACCTGAGAACCTAGAAGCCCGAAAACACCAAAACCCACGCCATAAGCATCCATTCGTCCTACAGCAGTATACACTCGCCCATCTGCTCGGGTTCTCTGTCAACAGACACTCCGTCGGCCTCGCATTCCTTGGGCCGCATGAATCCAGCAGTGCAAGTTGCATCTCATGCTCAGGATCGGAAGGTCTCTAGTCGGACTTTTGCAAGTCCCAACTACGAGGAACATCGAACCACTTCGACTTACTTTCTTGGGCCTTTGTGGATAACCTCCTTCATCCTGGGGTGGTGCCTGAAATCTGGAGCACTGCCCCATCGCACCAAAGGGATACTGCAATGTGTATCGCGTCCTGGGGACTTGGCCGTGCTCCTCGTTTTTGCTGGCGGTGCAGAAGTGTGGGTGTGTGGAACGGCCGGACATTTTCGGAGCCCTTGTTTGTGAGAAGACCTATTCTCCAGCTTGCTTTCCCCGCTTCGTACCCCAATGAAGAATCATAGGGAAGAGCTGCGAATGTGAGAAGTTGGCTGTCTTGCCAAGTGTTCACCCAAACCTGAAGCCGAAGCTGGATGCACTTGCCAGAGAAGCCAAAGAAGGGGGGGAGGCAAGACAGCGAGAGAAAGAGAGAGAGAGAGTGATGTCAAGGGATTGCTGTCCTGGGTCGTAGGAAATCTGTTGGGATATGAGGCTTCGAGGAGATAACATTGGTGTGCATGCTCGCATTGGCTGAGAAACGTTCCACAGCTTCTGTGCTCATGTACGATTCTCGGCCAGGCGACGAGCCAACGGGAGTGATCAGCGCGACGCTATACCTTGGTTGTGTTTGACCCTTGATGGCACTTGCTTTCTGGCGTCGTGTCATGGAGAGCCGAAGAGTCGATCTTGGATAGGATGGGGGATGTTCTTTCGGCCTATCCGCTTCTGCTCAGTGTTCCCTGGCTACACAACCGCACAAATCCAAACTCATTAAATGAACTTGAATACGATTATATGGTAACATGCGCGCGCGAAACCCTCAACTTCAAGACTCTCGCACTACAGCAAGATGCCACAAGTTGTCCATTGTCCTTCCCCGTACTAAGATTGGAGACGATGCTGGCACGTTCTCTCTTGCAGATCCTGCACAGTGCTTAAAGCCAAGCCGATGTCCGGCCGATCATTCAAACCCTTTTGACATCATTTCCCTTGCCCTTTTGTGCCACGCGGCTGCACCCGCCCAGGGCCTTGTTTCGGGTGCCAGTCCCGAAGCCCCACATCCAAGCACCAGTTCGCCTGCAGCAACTGGTACACCGAGAGCATGATGCAATGCTGAGTTCGGAGGTGGACCCAAACATTCCACATCAGTCATTACAGAAACCAACAATCACCAGCGCACAAATGACAACAACAATCATACTGGTGACTGGTGGGTTGGGACCTTCGGGCCTGGAAAGGCTGTATCAGGACATCTGCAACTGGCACTTTGAGATTTAAACTGCGATCGCATGCATTCCCTAAATTGTTAAATCGTGGTCCTATCACACATAAACACATATTCAAGGCTTAACCCTTGCCATGCACCCTATTGAAGGGGTCTGCTTCCACCACCTCATTGAACGGGCCCATCGCACACTGCCAGTCTGAGACTCTACAACGCGAAGACGCGCAACTCGTTCGAAGGTCAACAGCCCTCAACACCTGGATCTTGACGTACTTGCTGCCTCCCTTGGAGGGCTCCGGCTGCGATCCGCCCGGCCCACCAGGGTTGCCATGGGGCCATGAGCTTCGAGGAGGGAAGATAAGACCCTGGACTGGAGTTTTCACGTCTAATGTCCAGGCTTTTGTTTCGGAAACCATGGAGAAAGTTTGGATTGATCCACAGAAAGGGCTGCAATGTCTGAAGCAGACAGCGCCTGTCCTCTACATTTTCTGAAAGCCAATCCGAACGGAGATGCCAATCAGCACGGCGAACATGAAACAGACATGAGCCCAGTCCGAAGGTCACATGACTTGCGGCATGGGCTGCATCTGCTGCATCATGCCGTTTGGCTGGCAGACGACCTCAGCGGCTGCCAGCGAAGCATAGGGCGAATAGGGCGGATTGGGCGGATAGGGCGAATACGGCGAAGCGCTTTTAGAGTCACGAATCTAGCCGCTAGTCACGCTAGTCGCAAGGCCGCATCCGCACCAGGCTGCACCCGGCACCCGCACAGAACTGTCCAGCCCTGTGCAAATTCTCACCATGTGCTCGCATGGCAGCTTAGCCTATTCCACTTGGTGTCAACAGTGTGGTGCAGTGGAGGCAGGACATCCACAGAAGGATAAGAACAAGTAGAGCAGAGCTTCTACCATCAATGAGCACCCTGCCATGACATTGCTCATGACGCTGCCTCAACGGTCGCACAACTCTGGCCATCACATGCAAAGCAAGCGAGAATCCATGCCCCATCCTGTTTGCTTTAAAATCACGCATCTGTACCAAATCTTGACCGTGCCAGAAGGTCAACTGCTTAACCAAGCTCTCGAACAGCAAATGATGCCTCAATAGCGTCCGCTTCTAGGAAAGCCCCCACATGCTCAAATTTCCGAAGTACAACTTCCCTGCCTCCCACCGCGTTGGCCGGACTACTGGCAAGGTGAGCAATGCACAAACTCTCTCATGAGCAACATGAAAACTGCTGCCATGATTTGACATGGAAACTGTACATAAACACTGTGCCTACTCTCCCTGGGGGTGCGTGGGTGCACAGTCGCAACACGTAGAATTTCCAGATCTCTTCTCTGAGAAGAACGAGCCTCATGTTCACACTTTCCTCCTCCGTCGTCGAAACACTTCCTGCTATGCGGCTTGGGTCAACTTCCATTCCATGCCAGCATATGATGAAAACTCCTTAAGTGCAGGTGCAGCTGTCTAGCTTTGCCAGTCAGTGTGCTCCGTGGCTTTGTTAAGCGCGCTTGAAGCACAGACTTCACTGAAAGGAAAAAATCACTGCCAATGAACACCTGGAACCTGTGCACAACCTTTGACGCACCTACGCTTCCGTATGTCGCGGTGGCTTCCACCTCTCAGCACAGAGAGACTAGCCGTCTATCACTAGTCAGACTGTTATCGGAAAGGGTCTATCCCAAGAGGCATAAACACTATACATGCCTCCCCATCCCTATCGGATAGCCCCCTATCCATGGAGACCCCTTAGCTCGCGGATAGCCCCCCATCTATACACCCTTTTCCTAATCCGATAGACCCCTGTAAACCGTTTAAACTTTAAGCAACCCCTAAACCCCCAAAAAAAACTGACCCTGAAGAGGCTTTAAGTCATGAACCCAACAGAAACCCTAAACCCTAAACAACCTTAAACCCTGGCAAAATCCTAAACACTAGCAAACCACAAACCCTGATTCCTGCACGAACCCTAGATCCTAACCAAACACTCAACGCTCAACAAAGCCCAAACCCGAAAGAAACCATAAACCCCAAAGAAATCCTAAAATTTTAAACAAACCCTAATCCCTAAACAAACCCCAAACCCCAAACAAACCTAGAATCCTAAAAAAGACCTAATCCTCAGCCCAAAGACAAACTTAAACTCTAAACAAACCCTGAAACTTTGAACAAACCCATACCTCAGGAAACCCTAAACGTTAAGGAAACCCTAAACCCTAAGCAAACCCTAAGCAGAACGCAAACAAGCTGAACCCGAAACAAACACTATATCCTAAACAAACCCTAACCCGTAAACAAACCCGTAAACCCTGAACAAACCCTAAACCCTATGCAAACACTAAACACTAAACACTAAACAAACCCTAAACCCTCCACAAACCCCAAAACCTTAGCAGCCCCTAAATTGAAAAACCTTGATCGTTATTTGTGTCTCGTCTTGTGGGTCGCAAACTGTCTCTCAGTCTCGCGCTATGCTACAGTGCTATGCACCGGCTCCAGAGGAGCAGAGAAAAGTATGGTTTCAATTTCAGTGCGCGTCCTCCAAGGTTATTCGAGTGAAGTGGCAGTCTGCTGAAATCCGTTATGCTGCTGACGTCACGTCATAGTGATGTGGATTTGGTGGCCTATGTTGGCCTCTCTGGTGTTTGAATTTCACACTAGGAGGCTATTTCCGATCCTCACTTCTTTCAATCCTGACTGGTCATTTGAATCTTGATCGTTATTCCAACCGTGAGTCCTAAAGAAACCCTAACCACTAAAGAAACAATAAACCCCACACAAATGCCAAATCCTGAACAAACCCTAAACACTACATAAACCTAAACCCTGAACAAACCCTAAATCCAAAACAAACACTGAACCCTAAACAAACAGAAAACACTACACAAAATAAACCTTAAACCCTAAATAGAAACAAACATTGAACAAACTCCATACCCTTAGCTAATCTTAAACCCTAAACCCCCAAAACGCTAAACAAACTCCCTATACGCTTAACAAGCCCTACGCCCTAAACAAACCCAGACACAAAACATTCCTTAAACTCTAAACAACCCTAAAACTTTGAACAAACCCTATACCCTAAGCAAACCCTAAACCCTAAGCAAACCCAAACCCTAAAAAACACCCAAGCCCTAAACAAACCCTAAGCCCGAAACAAACACACAGCCCTAAACACGCCTTACAGCAAACCCTAAGCAAACTGGAAACCCTAAACAAACCCCAAATTCCTGGACAACCCTAAACCGTAAATAAACCCTAGCTCGAAAGAAACCCTAACCCTAAGCAAACCCTAAGACTCTGAACAACTCCTAAACCCTACACAAACCCTAAACCCCAAACAAACCCGCTATCCAAAACAAACCCTAAAAACATATAACAAAAAGAAAGGGGTCTAAGGGCAGCTGGGATATGGCTATCGAGAAATCCGGTAGGTTCCTATTGATGATTTTCATTAGACCATAAGGGATCTGAAACGGGATATGGGCCTATCCGGAAGGGGTCTATCCAAAATGGCCGGGGCTGCAGGATCAAAACAAGTAAAGAAAGGATCAAAATCATAAACATAGGGTTTAAGGTTTAGAGCCCAGTGCATATATGGGTGATCACATGCTCTGGGCTGCCATGTCTTCCTCATCCCGCTCTGTTTTAGTCGTTGTGTCTGCACAAAGAAGGTTTTTGCTTGAACATGTAAGTCTGGTGGTATAGCAGCACTCTTTGCATGTTTGAAAGGGCACTGCCGGCCTGCGTTTGCAGGGCACGCACCGTCTCCTCCAGCTGCGCCTGCTCCATTCAAGAAAGCTACACTGTGCTTTCCCAGTTTTTCGCACCCGCGGGCGGACGCTTCTGGGCAAGACATCGATGGCTTGCATGACCCCGCGGCCTGTCGATTCTGCATCTGCTGCAGAATTGAGAAGATTAGGTCAAACTTCTCGCTGTCCTTTGGACGCAGAAGCAAAAAGTCTATAGCACAACAGACCATTCCAGGATACTGCTTAGTGGGAAATTGCCTTGACATCACAGACTGTGTTTGGCCTGCCGTTAACCAAGAGGGACATGACAACTGCTCCAACACGCTGAACAAACCCGCTAGCAGCTACTACCCCAAGCCCAAACAAGAAGACGTGACACCGCAGGTCCTTCTCGCTACGTCTGCGCAAGTTGTCCGTGAACTCCTGTGTCGGTGCCAGACGTCTTGACAAAGTTTGGGCAATCGCCCCCTCCGGCCCCCTCCGGCCCCGCCCCTGGCCCTCTGGCCCTCTCTGGCCCTCTCTGGCCCTCTATGGCCCTCTCTGGCCCTCTGTCCTTGGACATCGTGTCGATCCGGCGCTCCAAGTCCCCAAAGTTCGACTGGACACAAGGCAAACGGAGGGGACTGAGGGACGAAGCTCCAGGAAGCTGAAAACAAGCTGGGCACCCCGGCTGCAGGTGCGGGGGGCGGCGCCCAGCCGCCCTCGTCCACACCTGAAAAACAAAACAAACCGTCTTGGCACTTATCGCACATCTTCACACAGATGCGTCTGAACACTCTTGGAACACTCTTTTGAACACTCTTTTTGGAACCATTTTGCAGAACTTCGTCAATTGGTCTGAGAGGACATGGCGGACCCTTGGCTTCACTTGACGAGGCTGCAGCAAGCCCTCCTAACGCTGCGTCCTGCTTGAGGGTGGTCATGCGTGCCTGCACCGTCCTGCTCCCACTTGCTCCAAGAACCTGTGGGAAGGAGATTCTGAAGGCAAGGCCATCACCTATCAACACAAAAGCAAACGAGGATGAGAAGGTTCGAAGCTCTGGAGGCTCTGTACTGGCAGAAAGCTCAGAGCAGGCTTGGCAAGCTTCGGCTTGACCATTTATGCATGGCAGCAAAATACAAAAAAGAGTACAACAGTTCTCGCTTGCCCAGCAACAGTCCAAGCAGTATTGCTAGGCAGACTGAGTGACCGCTGGTTTGCTTATTCAAGAAGGAAAGAGAGTATTCACCGACCTTCGTTCCGGCCGCCCCAAGCTCCTTCGCTTGACCAGTACTCCTCCTCACTGTGCACGTCCTTGAAGCGGCGATGCTCACACCCAAAGCTTGGTTTAACAGCTTTGACATTGATCAAACAGCGTTCACAGATGCTCACAAATCAATCCGAAGCACGAGAAGCACGAGCTTCCGCCAAGTCGCAGAGCTCTCCCCGTAGTAGTGCTGGTACTCTCGCCGGTGGCCACCCGCCCCTGCCCGACACAATCGACCCACAAGCACTTTGAGCCCAAACCAGAGCTGAGCCTGGGCCAGTCATTGGTCGGTCCTTGTTGGAGAGAGCTCAAATCACTGACAACTCAAACGTACTTCTCTGTGGAAGGCCGCTGAGTGCCGTTGAGGCCGGCACCCCGAAGCTTCGGTCTGTCCGTGGGTCACGACGGTAGGCCCCTCGGCCTCAGGCATGTCAGTAAGTGACACGTTGCAGTATGTACCCTACAGGCTCTACAGACTCTACAGTCTTTGCAGACCGTACACACTCTACAGACTCCACACCACACTTGCCAAACCACAAAGCTGAGCTCCATTGCCTGACCCCTTCATGGAATCAGGCTTTCCGCCACCTCCTGTACCAGGGGCGCACCAGTAGCAAGCAAGAATCCACACAAAAGCAAGACAGATAGCTGTACAACTTACAAAGCTTGTTCTTTATGACGAGAGTAGACCAAGAGGGCTTCTGCTTGGAACAACACGCGGGCGGCTGTGAAAAACACAAAAACCACACAGGTGTTGGGATATGATATGTGTTCTGTTATGTGCTTTGGAGGCCTGGGCATTCGCACCTGGACATGTGCTGTGGGCATCACCCGCGAACAGGCCACATGGAAGATCATGGAAGCAGAGTCCTGGCCTCGGTGCGTGGCCCGGTGCGCCCTGCCTCGGGCCTCAAGAAAAGACTAGCAGTGTCAAGAGGATTTAGCAGTTGTGAAACGCTTTTTGGGTATATCAGGCAGCATCTGTAATCACTCAGCACACGGCAACGTGCTACGTGCCGCTGCCAAGCCGCAAGCAAAGCTCCGCTGAGAGCCGGCGGCATCAGGCGGTGCAAAAACAACTTCATCTTCGTTTTCTGCATCCATGCACTTTATTTATCAAAGCTGAGCGCTCAGACTGCCGGACTATCCTCGGCCAAGCAGCAGCACCATTTTCCAACTCAGCAAGCAATTCCTGAAGCGGATCCTGTGGCTGTCTGTTGAAACATCAAACAGTATCCTATCATAACCACAGAGTCATAGAGAGGCCATTTGATTGCCATTCGCTGTACCTTCCAGGATGCGCTCAGCACCCAGACCACTTGAGGAACGAAGCTCATCTCTTCACTTCTGGGTTGCCGGACTATGTCTAAATCCAGGCCTTCCTGTAGCACTCAACTGTGGAGCGACTACAGTAGAGCTTGTGCTTCAGGCCTGCTATGATTGTCCCTCAGCTTTGAGAATTCTCGCCACCCGCATCCAGGCCATGCGCGCTTCCAGACGATCGTTTGTGTGGTGAGTTTCGTCTCAACCTCGGACTTTCCTTCACAGTTCTGATGTCTCCCTCCACCTGTACTCCTTGCCGATGTTTAGTGAGTCGTCGACAGCACGGAAGCGCAGGTCTCCTGGGCAGCTGAACATCTGCATGCGGGGCACACATTCTCTCTCTCTCACACACACCCTGCAGAGACTGGGTTCCTCTACTGGGGCACTCCATGGCACTCCTCTTCCGGCTGGGGGAACCTCCAGAATCCATTGATCTGGAGCCAAAAGATGTCGTTTCATCGGGTGCCAGTGTCCTTATCAATGTCTTAGTCTTAGCTCTCTCAAAATTCCGTAAGGCATTGGTTCGCTTAAATTTCCTCAGGGATGCCCTGGTGACAAGACCGGCGCTTCATCTCCAATCTTAAAGCAGAAGCTGAACAACAACCACACAACTATTTCTGTGTGCTCCGTAGTTCCTTCATCAGACGACCACTCCACTGCTGCGATTTCTCCGGTACCGTCCGCAGCCTTGACAACCTCGGCATGCTTCGGAAAGAAAGAATTCAGACCTGCAAAGACAATTGGAAATGGACCCAACAACTCGGTGAGTAGGTCTGACGAGGTCAGGTGTACTGCTGCACATCACAGGGCCGAGAAGCAAAGGTGCGAGGCTGTCCGTCCCTTGCCAGTGAAACAGATGAAATGATCGGCAGGTCATTGTCTGTAGACCTTGATGTGCGTTGTGCTTTGCTTGCCACAGTGCTGCAAAAGCAACTGGATTCCGAACACTGCATGGTCAAAGCTTCGGCAAAACCAGCACCAAGCAGCGCTGATGGACGCACCATACCTTTTCCCAAAATTGGAGCTTGAATGCCCATGTCCGCAAACAAGTTCCTCTGCATGGCACACAAGACCAACCTGCCTTCTCAAGTCACCCATTTGCTTGCGTGAAGACAAGGATAGCTCGACTGCACTACAACTGGGTCCAGATGCTGGCAGCTGACTGCCTCCTGGAGCGATGCTACTGCTAAGAATACTTAGCCGAGATGCAAAGTGGCTTGTTGCACCACTGGGTCAGGTCCAGAAGGGTCCACCCCTATACGGGTGTTGTACCTCAGATATTGATGGCTCTTGCACGAAATTGCACAAGACCTACGGGCTTGAAAAGGCTCGAATGGCTTGAAGCTACAAAGCCTTTAAAGCCTTTCAACCTACCACCAAACCTTTGTTCGAAAGAGGCAAGGCACTCGCTCTCCCACATGTTGTTCATGCCCGTAACAGAGTCATGGAAGTTGTCCAAGCCCCATGCCCATTGCACTGTGCCCGCACCGAAGACTAAAGCACCACTTTTGGCTTTGTACCTGAGCCGGTGCTTCAAGGCTCAATCCAATCTTCAGTTCTCGACTTTGCTTTCTGTCAGGGACTTGAAGTCACTGACTGCACTGGCCCATGTTCCGAAGATTCCGAAGCAGCTCATCACCCGAGATGCAGCGTCAAATGGTGGGTAGCGCTGCCCGAGTCAAAGCACGCACCATGGTCCACGATGGCCTCACAAGTTGTGATGACCTGTGGCCCTTTGCAGACGTTCGGATATGCGCTGATGAATTCTGTACTTCGCTACTGAGCAGTGACTATGACATTGATTCAACGCGTGCTGAACTGTTGCTGCTGTTGAAACAATAGCCGTGTCATCTTACGTTAGCCACTTGTTTGAAGCCCTCTCCTGCACGTTGTCCACGTGTGTCTCGCTGAGACGGATGAGCCCTTCCGGCCGGAAGCCATTATCCAAATCTTCATCCCACTCGTGGCCTAACAGCCTGAGCTGTGGAGACAATGCTGTTCTGCAGATTGAGGAGCTCTTGTTTCGTTTAGTAGGCAGCACTACTGCATAGCTAGAGGCCTCTTGGAGACGTCATTAACCCCGAGCACAAACTTCCACAATGACCGAGCTGTACAAATAATCATCACCAAGTCACCCTTTCAACAACACAGCCTTCTGGTTCAAGTTCAGTGAAGCCACTTCAGTGTGACGCCAAACCCGAAGCTTAGCGTAAGCGCCGGGGATTTCGAGCGCATCATGTCTCCAAGCATTCACCTGCTTTCACCGAAAGCAGAATGACAAGTGCTGGCTTGGGACAAAGGTTTCGGGGGTCAAAGTTCGCGGACAACCGAAGAACCGAAGTTGTCATAAGCAGTCACGTTGCTGTAAAAATCGTTCCTGTCAGGGAGTTCTCCGGATTGGCGCCCTCCGGGTTGAAGTCTTTGCTGTCCCGGAACGTTCCGGTCCACAGCCTCTCTTCCGGGTCGATCTTGAAAGATTCCTGAGACTCCTTCAGCGTATGTTCAGCACATCTTCGTGTCTTTCAGGCTTGGGATCTGCTTGGGATCTGCTTGATTCTGCTTGCACATGCTCTGTTACGTTGTGCAGGGCCCTGTCGTCTGCACCTAGGCAATGACCTTGTTTTTGAGAATCACGTAGCAACAAGACCTCCGCGTCCTTGTACACCACCATCGTTCTCATGGGCTCGCCATTTACAGGTGATGCCTCCCAGCGCACCTTCCAATACACTTCGTTGCCACTCCAAAAATGAAGGTGAACACCTCATATTGACCGAACGATGGGTTCAGCCAGACTGCAAAGCACAAAGTTATGAGACCACTGCTGCCATGAATCCTGCATCACGCGCAGTCTCCACGTGCCGCCTTTGCTCTCCAGACCAATACTCGTCATGACCCACAGACACATAAACACGTGCCCGGCGATGTATCTCTTCTCCACGTGCATGAGCATCAACCCCGGTCCAATACTGAACATCATACCCATGACGTTCAAGCCACCGGATCGCAGGCATCTCTGCATTGAAAAGAGTGTTAACTGCCCGAGTATCCCGAGTCACCAGAGGTGCATTGTAGGAGACTTTGTGGGCCCGTCGATGTTGCCATGACTCAGGCATGCTAAACTTATGCCTGGACAGTGGTAGAACTCCATACGTGGAGGGGGCGCCATAGTTGTTGTACGCTCGCCATGTCGTGTCAATGGTCTGCAGCAGGATGTCCGTCTTGCGTACATCTTGGCGAACTACGAAGTAGACGTGCGAGGCATGTGGCTCCTTCAGCGAATTGCCTGCAGCCAAGACTGGTTCGGCACACAAGCGGACACATTGTGACCAAATTCGCAACCTGAGCCTCCACGAACAGCTCTAGAATGACAACGAGCATCACCATGTCAGAGACACGAGCATGTCTAAAATCCCAATGAAGCGTCCCTCACATGACGGCTTCGCAAAGAGAATATCAGGTTAAAATTTTCCAACCAGCGCCAAACTTGGTCCCAACTCGATAGATATCACGACAACTCCTATGTCTCGAATACAAACTCTGCAATATTCATGTGGCGCAGCAGAACTCGGTTCTGGACAACTGCTAGGGCTTTTCCCGTGGCTCCCCCGAAACGTTTGCACGCTTTGCATTCCTCCCCCAAAAGCTGCAATCCTGCCCGAAATTAGTGCAAGGTCTCATACTGCGTGGGATTGGGTCGAAGTTAACGTCGCAACCTTTCCTACACCTTCTCTGAGGCCCCAAAACAAATGGCTCACGTCCCACAAGAACGGAAATCTGTGGCCGTGGCTCATCATTTGTCCAGAGAGGTGCCGCTGGGCACCGTAAGCATGCGCCAAAGCCGGGCAATGTTCAGACCCACAAGGAGGCATACGACTGTAATTCCAATTGCCTCAGCTTTGCAAACTTGTAGCGGAACATCCCAGTCATGGCGTTTGCATGCTTGACAAACAAACTGATCAGGGCGGCCGAAGTTCTGTTGGCGAACTTGCTGCTCGGCATAATCTCACTGGCATCTGTACGCCAATGTGCTGGCGGGTCCTCCATCACCAGCCTAGCAAAATACACGCCCGGCACGACATCGTGTGAGATAGGCCAGACCTAGGTACCACAAGCACCTACCGAAGCTGAGCACCTTGCATTAAAGTTTTATGTGGCATCATCGGGCTTGCAGGTATGTCAAGCGGCGGCGCTCACCGCCCAATTGCCACAATCTACCAGCAATGTGTCATCATCCTGCCAATCTTGAATATTGGTTCACAAAGCTCTGTTCACGCATTTTCTGGTGGCGCCTTGTAGCATTCCGGCTGCTGCTGTGGTAATGTCGCAGACGGGTGCACAGTAGTGATCCGCCGTGCACCCAGGCCGTTGTACCATCCCAGGCGATAGATGTCCAAACGGTACCGTCCTGAGCCGAAATACAGTTGTGAACTTAACTGCTCATTGTGCTGCATGTCTGTCAGTAACACTGCCAAGATGGTCGGCTTTTGAAAAACAAGGTTCTGGAAGCTGTCTTGACCTTGAACAACACCTCATCACCAATAGCGTAGCTGCTCTGGGTGGCAAAGCCCTGGATCCTTACGCCAGTTCTGACAAACAAAAATGCTTAGTAATGGCTTACTACTTCCGAACACGAATTGGACACACACACACACTCTATGTCTCTCTCTCTCTCTCTCGCTCTCTCCTCAAACGACATCATGTGCAAGATGAAAAAGACTATATCTTGTGTTGGATGACCCTTCCGTTACCAAATGGATCCAAATCTCAAGCTTGAACCTGCAGCATTGATGTCCCACTCTGAGGATGGGTTACCATGCTTGCAGTTCTCACGTACAATCTCGTTGACGGGATGCAAGCAGTCCTTGGGAAATTTTCTAACATGGCACTGCGGCAAAACAATATGTACAAAGCCCTTCAGACAGACGATATCGTATCCAAGATACTGCTGGTTGCGGGCCTCCGAGATTGTCTTCCAGGTCCTGACACGCTAGCACATCATGCCCATTTCTGTCAGGGCATTCTTCACAAAAACTGCCACCGCCGCAGTCAAATTGCATCCACGAGTGGTACTTGCTTTCACCCCCTGTTTGACAAACTGACTGGCCTTGATGACAACACCAATTGCATGCACGAGAAGGGCGCATGCACACATGAACAACATGATCACCACTATCCAAAAGCATATCACCACGAGAATCAGACCCATTTGTTGCATGATTGTGGCCAGCTGCTGTAACAACCATGCTATGAATGTGACCAAAAAATTGGCATGCGCCATGTATCGCAAGTAGTTTGCAAAATCTTCACGGCTGGCACGCTTGTTTTTCTATATGGATCTCTCAACAATTCCAAGTGCTGCTGCATGTGACATGGCCTTCATTGCACCCTGGCAAGCAAGAAGGGCAAAAAGCTCCAGCATGTCGGCGGTTGCATGCGTCTGCCCAACCCAGAACCACCGTCCAAACAAACCACTTCGTCTGGCCAAATCTGTCCAGGGGTCGGTATGTTTTGGTGGAAACCTTGCCGAAGGTTGTTTGCAAAAAACCAACCAACACAGATTCACACAAAAGACAAAGACGAAGCCGTCCTGTCACAGCGAGAACTGACTTGAGCAGGAGCTTCACCAGGACACCCAACACATTTTCACATATGTACGTAGGGCCTTTATGTACTTTTGACGGCTGTCATTCTATATTGTAACAAGAAGCAACGGCTTTCAAAATGTGAAAATCTTAAAATTTTAAAGGCCTGAAAAACTGCCCGGTAAAATTGAGAAATTGGAGGCCGAGCCTTCTAAATTTACAAATTTTACAATTTCAAAATCTTCACGGGCGTCGTCCGAGGCCTGTATATAGAATTGCACCACTGAAATATTTTGCAAAAACTTAATTATCTCTGGGAGGGCTCGGAAGAGTTTAAAGCATTTCAGTGTTTTGAAAATTCTAAAACCTCAAAACTTTCTAAACTTTCAAATTTTCAAAAGTTTTAAAGGATCCGGGCCCTCTCAGAGGCAATTATTCTTGTCAATTTTCCACCATTTTTAAAGGCCTAAGACACTGCTCTTAGATTTTCCAAACTTCAACAAATTTGAACCCGAGCTGCTTAAGACTTACAGGCTGATCAAAGTTTGTAATATGAAATTTGCCCTTTTTGAGGCAAACAAAAATTCATGGAACTTGGGGGAATATTTATCTCTGGTAAGGGCAAGGATTTTTGCAATTGTATAGGCTTTGAACGTTGTAAAACATTTATATTTTTCTAAGTTTCTCTCTCACTCTCTCTCTCTTCCGCTGAAGACATTTTTCAACCTTCTGAAATTGCAAAGGCCTGAAAACAATCCTTTCGTTCTCCTGAAATTGCGTTTGCCTTGAGTCCTTCCCCAGATTTTCCTCAGGCAAGTGGCAAAATAGAGTAAGAGTTGGAAATGCTCTTTCAAATAGACTCCCCCTATCCTTTTCTGATAGGGGTCTATCCGCCCCTTACTTGTGGAAATTTTCTGCTTGAAAGCCGCGCAAGCTTGCTTCGAGCATATTTTTCCGACCCATCACGCGGGCATTGCTTTTGCAAACGCTCTCTACTTCGAAGCCATCACGCATGCGTTGTGTTTGCAAATGGGGCCCCCCTAACCCCCCCCCGCTTACTAATCCGCGCAAGCTTGCTTCCGGCATAGTTTTTTCCAACCCATCACGCGAGCATTGTGATTGCACAGGGGGGGTGGGGGGGGGGGGGGCCTCCCCTAACCCCCGGCTTTATTCGATTTCGAACCCAACATGCAAATGGGGCCTAAAAGACCCTAAGCCCTAAACTCTAGAACCCCGGGGTCTAAACCCTAAAAAACCTAAACCCTAAGCCCGAATCCTAAACCTTAAACCCTAAACCTAAAAAGCCCCTAACCCCTGAAACCCTATGCCCCCCCTGAACGCTAAACCCTAAAACCCCCAAAACCTAAACCTTAAAACACCTTAAACCCTAAACCCTAAAAACCCGCAAACCTCAACCCTAAAAACCCCTTAAACCTAAACCCTAAACCTTAAAAACCCCTGAAACCCGAAACCCTAAACCCTAAACCCTAAACACCCCTGAGCCCTAACCCAGAAAACCCTAAGGCCCCTCAAAAAAACAAAACACCTAACCTAGAAAACCCTAAACCCTAAAAACCCTAAGCCCAAAAGCCTCGCAAAAGCCCTAAAAAACCCGAAATATCCCCGAACCCCTAAACCCCAAGAAGAAGCCTAAACGTTAAACCCTAAAACACCCCCAAAACCCTAAACCCTGAAAACAAACAACCCTTAACCCCTAAACCCTAATTAACCCTAAACCCTAAACCCGACACCCTACCTGGGCCAACAATTTCTTGCAACCCCCCAAAACCCTAAAACCCCTAGTGGCTACACCCGAAAAACCATAAACCCTAAAAACCTCTGAGCCCTAAACCCCCATGCAAAAAAAACCCTTAACCCTGAAACTCCCTCAAGCCCTGCCAATGCCAAAAACCCCGAAGCCGTACCCCCTACAGCCCCCAAACCCAAGATCCAAAAACCGCCAATCCCTAAATCCCAAACACCACTGAGCCCTAAACCCAAAAAAACCCCCGAAACCCAAAAAACCCTGAAATCTCAACACCCCCAAAACATCCCCCAACCCCAAACCCGCATCTTTTCAAAACCCATCATGGGTGTTTGCAAATGGGGCCGAAAAAACCCCTGAGCCCGAAACTCTAGAACCCCTAGGACCCAAACCCTAAAAAAACCCCCAAAACCCTTCAACCGGAGAAAAAAACCCTAAACCCTGAAATTCCAAAATCCTAAACCTTAAACCCTCAACCCTAAAAAGCTCCTAACCCCTGAACCCCAAAAACCCCTAAATGCCAAACTCTAAAAACCCTCAAACCTTCTTGAAACACCCAAAAACCTAAATCCTAAAAACTCCCAAACCTAACCCTAAAAGCTTCCAAACCTAAACCCGAAAAGCCCCCCCCCCGTCAGGTCTTGCCTGGTCTCTTGAATTTGCACGGCGACCTGGCCTCCCAAAAGCCTTTGCCGCCTGTGAACGCGCCTGCGCTTGGCAAGGATCAAGGGAACCGGTTTCAAGAAGGTCTGGGTAAAGAAGAATGCCGAGCATTGCCTCCAGCGAGAAGAAGGCTTGCATGAAGCTGGCGGCAACCTAGCTTGGGCGACGTTTCGGTCTCCGGTGCCTTTCGCAGTGGACAGACCATCTCTAAGACGCGTGTAGTCCCCATTTCAACCACTTTCGTAATGGCGGCATCTTGGCTTAGACCAGTTGTGAACGTCGAGACAACCAAACCACTCGAACCCCAACCTGCATGAGGTCAACCGAAAGTCGAACTCGCGTTTGGTTGCGTGACCCCCAACGCCAGCCCTGCTGGGCTCCAACTTCCCGGATTCTCACCCTCACCTCCAACTTCCGCCATGACAAGACTAAAATAAACCTCCTTCTCCACTTCCCGACTTCTCAAATTTCGAATTCATTCTGACAAAAAAACGAAACAAGAAGGAGAATTACACGCCTCTTTCGCTGCAGACACCTCTCGTTTTCTGGTTTTTGTGTTTTCTATTTTCTATTTTCTATTTTTAGAGAAGACAGAAAGAGTTTGTCCAAATCCACCTTTCTTGTTTTTCTTTTCTTTTTGCACTTGTTGTTCAAAACTTAGAGCAGAGAAAGTGTCCCTTGTCTTGTTTTTTGTTTTTTGAATTTGTTTTTTCAAAAATCCAATCAAATTTTACTTTCTCGTTTTTCTTGTTTGTTGTTACAATGCTTGTTTTTGTTTTCTTGTTTAAAAGCAGAGAAGCAGTAGGTAAATCGAACAGAAAGGGGAACGCATCTGAATTTTCGCTTTTCAGAAACGGCCTCTGAAAACAAGTTGATTGAAGTTTTTTTTTTGTTTCAAGCAATTGAGTGCTTGGTTTCTGTGTCTGTTTCTTGTGCTTTTCAAGAACTAGAGTTGAATTTCTCGAAATTCCACCTCTCTTCTTTGGAGCTGTCATTGTTCTGCTGCGCTGCTGACAGTAAAGAGCCATCGGTCCAAAGCAGAGACCAGCACAGTTCCTCCAACTTATGCTTGTCTGCAACCGCCTCGCATCACCATTTAGACCAAAGCCACTTCAAACACTGCAGCGGAAAAAAAAACAGAAACCAAAATAACGCATCTTCTTGAAAGGGCGCCAAACACACTCTAGAAGCGTGGGTTTAGCTGCAATGGCGACCTTGAGACCATCTCGCTCTTTCACGTCAATCTCCCAAGTCAAACCAGCTGGGGCAGGGGCCACAGAGGGCAGCAGGCGCAGCAGAGACCGCATCAGGGTCCGGAGCAGAGGCCATGGCACCGGGCGCATTGGCAGCGGCAGAGGCCACACATTCGCAGCAGCCTTTGGGACCGCGGCATCACAACAGGGGGGTGTTACCCACAATCCCCTACGCGGAACAGCTGTAACATCAACGCGTCTTCTTTTATCGTCTCTTTGCTCTCGACCTCTAGTATATCCTGAACTTCCAGGATGCTTGGACACCCTGTTGGTGGTTGCCTTTGAGCGCTTTGGGAGAGCAGGGCCATGACACGCGATACCCGCAGCGTTTAGCAGGGTGGAGTTAGGGTTAACAAAATGTCAACCTGAGTTAGCCTTAACATGTTGGCTCAGGTCTTGTCCGCAGCCAACAATTTGCGCGCGGCGGTAAAGGGTGATAGACCGCTTGATGCTGCTGCATGATATTGCATAGAATACATGTGAAGCATTCATTCATTCAAGTTCAGTGGAATGTTGGAATAAGACCACCATAATCAGTGTGCAAATTCTTTTTTTTGACTTCAGATGACATTACTTTGATAAAGTGTTTAATCATGTCCATGAGTTACTCATGAACGATGATTGTTTAGAAGATCAGATTAGTTGATGTTTTTTTGGTAAGCACAAGGACAGAATAAAAAATTAAATTTCTGTTGAGAAAGCATAAACACAATTGGTTATAATCCTTAAATCGCTATAGGTTCATTTATAAATTTAAACCTTATTCCTATTAAGGGATTTTTCGGAGAAGACCAATTTCCATTTTCTACGGATAGGGGTTTCGGGTTGGGTGTTATGGGATGTTTTATCGGGTGGGGCATGCTATGGGGTTGAGTATGCTAGTTTCTATGGGGTTGTATGGGTTCTTCAGGTGTCCTGGGTTGGGGTCTTTCAGTGAGATTGAAGGTTGGGACAGGTTGTTACGGTTTGGGTCTTGGGGTGGGTTGGTGAATGGCTAGGAAGTGGACATGGTATATGCGAACTTTATAAACGGTCCGAGTTTGCTTGCTGTCCCACTAATTATTGTGCAGACGCTGCTTCAGTCGTCCGATACCTTGCCGGGTTTCGTACTGTGATCCGCGTAGGGAACGTGATGAGTAATCAGAAGCATGGAACATGTCTGGTATTATTCCTATGTTGTACAAAAGAACGGCTTGTGCTGTTTCGTTGGGCTAGTGATGTAACGTTACATGTCTGCTCTTTGAATGATATGGGAGGCGACAGTTGTGATGCTCGCATAGAAATGACAAGCAGACATTGTGGTAGAAGTTTCATCAGCCTCGAGCGTTGGGCTATCCCACTCACTTAATTCAGTTCTCGCTCGCGACTAATCCAATTTCGCCCACGGCTTTGCTAGTCGCATGCTACAACGTAAGTTTTCCAGGGCCAAAAGGCCTCTGTGCCATTGATGGTTCATGCAACGAATGTGTTCGTGGCTTTGTGTTTGGATGTGTCAGACAAGGACTTGCAAGCAGCATGGGCAGTGTAGAAATAACGGTTGATTTTGCGTTTATTTGGTCTCGATAATGCTTTGACACACCTCAGCGTTTCAGCGTTCCTGGTATTCATGGTTTCACCATCGCCCATTGCTTCACTGATTCACTACAGGTAGGCCAAGCACGTGAAGCTGTGCAGTGGACATTTTGGATCGCCTGGAACAGGCCTGCCCAGCTGGTTTGGCATGATTGTTCCATGTTGTTGGGCCCTCGGACTCCCAAGTTGCAGTCGTTGCCAATTGCTGAATGCAGGCGGCACCATCTGACAGTGTGGTTTACTTGCAATTTGATGTTGAACCATGGTTCTCGTAGAAATTTCCAGGGTTTCGAGGTGTTGCATGGAAGCAGTGTTTTACGATGGTGGCCACAGCTTCCACTCAGGCCAGAGAGGCCTAAGAGCATCACGAGAAGCAATTATCCGCCACATGTGCCGGAGACAAAGTCCCTGCCTCAATGAATCAGCGCATGCATGGTGCACAACGTTCGGGTTAACGGTATGCAGATTTTTGCACAAATGTTCCCGAAAGGTTCTTTGGCAACGCAGGCTACACATGCTACTTCTTTTGCATTGGTTCTATCTGAGTGAAACTATTGCTTTCGAACAGCGTCGCTGTCGCTGTACCGTTGGCCGGTGTTTGATGGCTTGGTGGGTGAGTGCGGCATTTGTGGACAACCAAGGTTTCCGTCAAGCCGGGTGCTGACCCATATGACTGGGCAGCTCAGTTTCTTGATAATTCAGAACAGCTTTTTCGCAAGTTGCATTGGCAGAATGGTTTGTGAGATTTCCTTTGGGCAATTTCTCGTAGCTTCTGAAAGATCGCGGACTGGCCGCCTTGGAGGCGAAGACAGCTTAAATTCTTCAATCGCCCAATTCTCCCAAAGTGAAGGAAAAAACAACTCCGTTGTTTTGTGCCTCGGTTGTTCAGAGACTAATTAAGGACAGCGAAGTCCACTGGAAGGATCCGGGGATTCGGGGGGTTAGGAGCTGGAAGTCCTGGCTTTGAATTTGTGGGTACGGGTTGAAGCCGCGTGCAAGCTTTTCTGACACGTGTGTCTTCCTGGGCGTGTCTGACAGTGACAGGATATGCTCAGCCTTGAGAACAGGCTGACTGAAGAGGCTTCCACCTCAGCACCTGATGTCAGCGAGTGTTTTTGTGGCAGCGCAGCGTGCCCAAACAGCTCCGGGAGGAGGTTCTGATCAAGAACGCTGCAAGACAGTTTGCAGACGGGGAGTTGATGCCCCAGGTGCAAGCAAACGTGTTGTTTAATTGCAGAACTAGATATCCTGTCCACACCAGGGTGCTGCTGTCGATGGAAGGTCTTGAAAGGCTTTAGAGAAGAATCCTTTGACAAGGGCCTCTTCAAGGTGGGAGGCCAAATCAGTTTGCGCAGGATTGCATATCCCATGGAACAGCTCCGCACTCGTGTCTGACGCATCTGTAGATCTCTGGACACTAGAGATTCTAACATCTACAAGACAGCGCAAGACATCACCAGATACCGCAAGACAAGATGCTCCAAGTCGTGAAAGCGAGGCAATGGGGGGTGCGGGCCTGTTGGGCTCCTTCATTGAAGGCGAGGGCTGCAAGTCTTCAGTCTATAAGACAGATTCCCGATCGAGCTCAAGCCTGCTCAAGCGGCTGTGAGGCTATGGATGTGCTGGTGCATCCGCCACTGCATACGGGTTGATCGCACGAGAGGAGGGAAGGGTTGCGGCGTGGGGGATGTAGCATGCAACAACCACCTCCTGGGAATATCGCTCGGTAGTTGGCAAGTGCTGACAGGTGGAGCGGGTCGACTCTGCCTACCGGTCAACACTGTCTGTGCAATCATCGCTGGCTGGATGCTGTGCAATGATACAATGAAATTGTGTTGGCAGCCCACAATCAATCACAAGGTCATGAACCCCATCAACCTCTTTGGATCCCAGGACGGATCTTTGCTTAGAACGCCTTTGTCTGTAAAAAAGTCCTTCTAGTCTGGAGGAGCAGAAGGAGCGCTTCCTACCGCGTTTGGCAACGGGAGAGCTCATTGGCCTCGGGCTTGGGGCTTCGGCTTCGGGAATCCGGGAATGCTTATGAAATCGAAAGAGCACACGACAGTCTTTTGTCCCGAGGCTGCTTCGGGTTGACAGAACCTGACCATGGCACACTGGCCTCAGGGGATTCTTTCGGGAATTCTGAGACAAAACCTCAGCAATCCTCGGGCAATAAAGGGGCTGCCCCGTGGCTTCTTGTCCAACAGCCCAATGCCGTGGAATCTCCGTAGCCTTTGCACCTCTGAGATCTCCATCAGGCTCCGACCCGAGTGGCATGGTCACGCGGGCCGTAGACAAGGCCACGGGTTGTGAGAAGCGTCGGAGACGCCTGAATCGGAGTGCGTCGCAGTGCGCAGCAAATCGGAGTTCAAAGATGTCGCCTATGAAATGCTCACCCGTCCAGGGAGATCACTTCGTGTTGAGCGGCGCCAAGAATTGGATCACAAATTCTCCGATTGCTGACGTTTGTCTGGTCTGGGCTAAAACGAGCGGAGACGAGAAGGCGCAACATGTGCAACAGCTCTTCAGAGTCCCCTTCTGAGCCCCTGATCACAACTCATAACACCATGTTTTGTTCACTGCAGGTGCGAGGCTTCCTGGTGGAGCGGGGAATGGAGGCGCCGAGCAGCGCACAGGAGAACTTGTCGTCTTCGAAACGTTTTGTGAAGGGCTTGTCCACTCCGAAGATCGATGGCAAGTTTTCGCTCAGGGCATCGCCCACGGCTGCAAGCTCAGGATTCCAGCTCGTCAGTGGGTGAGCGTGTCGTTTCACACACCAAGGGAATGATTCAGCTGGATGATGTTCGAGTTCCAAAGGAGAACGTTCTGTCGCCCTCCTAGATTGAACATGACAATCCTCGGCATTCTTTTTTGCATGTGAGGGCCGTCAAATGTAGCGGTGGAACACATAAGATGTGATGCTTACAGGCATTTCGGCTTCTACAGTTACAGTACTATGATCATGACTTTCCAAAATATCGTCGCTTGTTGATATGGTTGCTGTTTCTATGAATGGTTCTAGGTTCCAAAGTCAAATTATAGCTGCTGTTACCTTTATTGACACATGCAGCCTGAAAAGCCCGAAGCCCTGAAGCAGAGAGCCCAAAACAGGGCAACCTCAGAACCCCGAGACCGTCAAGGCGAGAGCACCAAACCTGCTGGCCACGCTGGCGGAACACCCAGAGCTGTAGGTAAACCCGAAACCCTCAACCCAAAGCCCAAAACGACTTCAACCGAGAATCCAAGACCCGAAAGCGTGTACTGTGGAAGAGAAGTAACCGCAACAAGAAGAAAACAGGAGGTAAATACCCCTAACCCCTAAGCTTAAGCCCAAAACCCTGCACCTTCAAAATCCCAAAACCTAGAGCCTGCGAAACCCTGAACCCGAAACCCGAAAGCCGAAAGCCGAAAGCCGAAAGCCAACACCCTTAACCCTAAACCTGAAACCCTAAACCCGAAACCCTGACGGGCATGAACTCCCTAAACCCTAAATCTGATTTTAAACATAAATTATTGGAGCAAGGCTCTTCAATCCAAGGCCCTCAGAGGAAACGCAAGGCAATCTTCGGAAATACAGGCCGCTGACACGCAAACAGTGTAAATGCCGATGCGAAACGAAAAATCACTACGGTGGCACCAAAACGCAACGCAACACCATGAAACGAAAACATACCTCCCAGGACACAAAAACGTGACAGAACGGAGAACAACCAGTCACAAAAAGAATGGCATCGAAAAGCGAAGCTTCAGAAACAAGCTCAAAACTCGGGAAAGAGCGATTGTTGTGGAGATAGACCAGAATGAAAGCACGTGAAAAAAGAAAACGGCACCCCCCCAACCGTAGTAGCAGCAGGCACCCCCGCCTACTAACTACCCAACTGCGTGCGGATGACCGAAGCATCCATGCCTGCACGATTGTCGCTTTTGGATTCGAGTCAAAGATTCAGTCTTCGAGGCTTGTACATGCGCATTTCCCCTAGGAAATCAGGAACCCCTGACTTGGACTGACGTGACCTACTTTCAAGGATTCCGGAGGCCGAATGCTCGAAAAAATGGTAGTTGATCACAGCACCTGTTCCCGAAATGGCTATCTGTCCCTGAATACCTTATTAACACGTAGGGGGCTCAACAATTTCTTTGAGATCAACGCCCAGATTTAAGGCCAAAAGTGTGCAGAGTCATGAACGCGGGCACACGTACAGCCATGAGAAGGGTACGCGTTGTTTAAGTTGCCCATTTCCCTAAACCTGGGTAAGACATCGACTTTACGCGGTTCTTGTTGATTCTCGCGCTTTCAATGTGAGGCCCAATGTCACGGGAATGCGTGGGCCCTTTGCCTGCTTGAATTCAGCTCGGCTCGGCGCCTTGTTTGCAAGATGCCTGGTTGCCTGCAAAAGTCCAATGATGCAAAGAACTCAAAAACTCCGTAGGTTTTCATGTCTGCAGGTATCGCCTGGGGTGCTCTGGGCGCTGCAGAGTTTTGCCTCGAAACTGCGAGGCCATTGTGGCAACCGAACTGCCCCAAAGCAACGTCACTTGACGACTTTGCAATGCTCTGAAACATGTAGCGAATCCTGCCCACATCCACTTGAGGATCGGCAAGCTTTGTAAGAGTTTTGTCCAAGCTTTTCCAATTGTATGACGTTCACAAGGCGCTACACCTTGGACAGAAAGCAGTTTGGCCGCCCCCTTGCCGCCAACCAGCTCGTGCGCGGGGCATTGCGGGAAGAATGTTATGTTGGGAAATTGGACTCGGACTGGGCTGCCTAGTCTTGCAGCAAGCCATAGATGGAACTCAGTTAAAGGGAGCTTGCCAGCGCACACCAGCTCTGGGCGTTCCAGCTATCCGGTGCCTCTTCTCGCAGGTTCAGTTCAAGATGGCCAGTGCGATGACGGCGGGGCGCCCAGAATCCGGCCCAGCCGGGTGGGCCGTGTAGGGCCGTGTGGGGGCAGGAGCTAAGTTTCATATGGGCACTTCAGAAGTCCTCCTGCAGACCATCGCATGTCTGGCCAGGACATCACTATCGGACTGAATGCAGTACTGCAAGCTACTCGCATGAAGGAGGCCGTGTCGGGTACAAGGTATGAGATTACAGTCAGTCACGGTTGCGAAATATGTCAAATGATGCTTTCGGGTGCCTGTCAAGCAGAGTGCAGACAATGGCAAGCTCTCGGTTACCGGACTGCCGAAAGAACTTTTTAGAAGGCATGATGCATACATGAATGCAATAGGGTGATCGCAGTGATTTTGTTTGGCCTTCGTGTATTCAGTGTCTCTCTGCGCCGCGCTTTTCTTCTTCAGGACTGGGATGCAAGTAAGTCGCGACATGTTCTTCAACTGTGGAGCTTGAGGGGAGGGGGTTGGCTTTGGCATCCGGAACCAGTGCCACCGTTTGCAACGTCATTGTGTGGTGATACAGATGATACAGTGATCGGGATGGCTGTAGCCCAACTCAGCTTTGTTTGATGACTCCGCAAAGCTTGACATCGCGGCTTCAACAGGTTGTCATAGAATGTGGTTTCCACTGTTGCCGCGCTCACCGTGGCAGTCTGCACCTTGTGTTTTTGCACATGGCTCTGGGATGTGGTTGCCAGGTGCCATCTCCTAGGGGTGGTTTGTTTTGCATTGTGCGTGGCCGACAAGGCCTTGGTGGTAAGTCTTATTCGTAGGGTGATCTTGAATCCCCGGATTGCTTCACCATGCTCCCTTGCTCTAGTCATGTCGCTCGCGCCGATTAGCTAACTGCATACTTACAAGACCTGACTGCCTGTGGAGCGGAATGAAACGACTTTGATTGAATGGATGCTCGCAACCTTGGAGCTTACCCCAACGTACCATTGCAGGTAGGCACTGGGTGCTGCCGTTTCAAGCGTTTGTTTTGCAGGTTGGCTCACGATAATCCCCCCCCCTTTTGTAAAATGCGTATCTGGTGCGTTGGGGAAAAGAAGGGAGTGCATTGTTGTTGCCCTTGACTGCGCTTGCGCCTGCGCAAGTGGTCCTTCGTAAGGATGGTCCAACCCCCCCAGACACCCCACCATCCTTGGAAAGGTGGGCAACTACCCACCCCGTTGGGGGGGGGGGGTATCTCGCGATTTCAACATCCAACATCATCGGTGCATTCATTCAGCACGTTCATCTGGCAAAGTAGTTCTACGTGCCAGATTTTGTCAAATGAAGGGCCTTGTTTGTTTGCAGGCTGGCAATTTGCACTCCAATGTCATCTCCATGATGAAGCGCAATTCGTGTACAAAGGCCTGTGATTGTCGACTGAAGCAGACATCGTGCAATTTCTATTTTGGCACAGTTGCATGTGCGATCGTGACCTTTCAGGCTTCCTCTTAGTCGCCATGCTTTTCTTGCCCCTAGCGAAAGGGTGCACTTCGGCACAGCAAAACCTGCTTGATCGGGGCAGCGAAGGATGCCCAGCCCTTCTTTCAAAGCACGTCTTGTACGTTTTGGGCCGTCATCACAAATCCCAGGTTCACCGAGCAAACGCCCAATGTAGGAAAACCTCAGATCGACGAATAGCTCTATTCCCATGGCGAGGCTTTGGAGATCGCGCGCACCTGCCGGGACATGCTTGGAGGCGATTGCATAAGCTCATCATCATGGAAGGGAGAACGTGTATGTCTGTATATCTATTGAGCATGCATGCTTTGCTGTTTGTTGTTGAGATTAGTTCCTGGCTTGCTCGTAAGATTCTGAATAGCAGGCCTGTGGAACAGCTTCGTCATAGCTGCATAGGTGATCCGTGTTGGCATGCTTACGTGCCTTAGTTAAAGCCTTGGACATGGAGAATCCATTCGGAACTCAGATTTTTAAGGGTTATTGACTGGGTTGTGAGCTGCAGGGAATGGAATCGTGGACGAGTACCATATCATCCGCCACGTATGCAACCTTGAGGCTGTTCCATCATGGTTCTTTGTGTTCTCAGGGTGTTCACTGAACAGCGCAGCGCAGTCGAACCTGAGCAGGCGGTTAACACTTACGAGGGCACGGCGGACATCCACGCCTTGGTTCTAGGCGCGCAATGTTTGGATGTTCCATCTTTGTTCTACTCGGGAACACACTGCCGTGCCAGGCCGTGCGATAACAGGAATCCCGGCCTTCAAGTGAGGGCGTGGTTCCTCTGGATAATGTCCCCGGGGCTTAGCGCGTGCCAATGCGCAGAGTCTGTGAGGCCAACGGCCGGTAGGATTTGAAGGCTGCGTTTTTCCTGCGCCGCGGAGTGATGAGGGAGTGTGGTCTTGAGTGCTACTAGATCTTTCACTACGGAACCTGGACAAGTCGTATCTAGGCGAGGTGCTCCAGGCGACTGTTTGTTGTTGCAACCATGACTCCGTGCTGCTCGCACTGATCGCGGCAAGGACGTTGGAGCACACTGGAAGTTTAAAAAAGAAGCGGGTGCCAGGGCTAGCAGAATCTTGGGAAACTGTTCGTAAGTCCCCTTTGGCTTGGTGTCCGCAAAGATGTGCAGAGTTTTGCTCGTGGCTGTCGCAGCGGCTCTGGATTGGCATGGGGCGGCATGGGTTTGTAACTCTCACGCTTATCATCCCTTCTCATCTGCGATCATCCGTGATCAGCAGTACGCTTCATGTTTTTGAAAGCAATGTGCTTTATCAATTCAAGTACAAGTATACATGTAAATATAAATCTGTCAATAGTTAGTATATATATGTATAAAGTCCGGGGGGCTGCGGGCGTGCGCTTCCTGTTCCTCTACGTTTCGTCTCTGCATCAAGAACACGCGCGCAACCAGCAAACGTGTTTCTCTATCTCTCTCTCTCTACATATGCACATATATATATATATGCACAAATGTAACAATATGGGTTACATGTTGGTATTTCTATGAGATACTTTGCGAAATTCGCATGCCCTGGGCTTTGCACTCGGAATGCCTCAGGTTACTCTCTCAGTTCAATCCTTTGTCGCGTTTAGGTTCAGGTCAGGCATTTTATTCTACTCTTGCATTGCAGTCAATGTTTCTCTCGTTTCGTACCAAAATGACTGGTGCTCAATTGTGAGATTAGCAGGCACAATGAGTATACCTGAGCAGGGGACTCCCACAGGTGTCTTTCCATGAGCATGGGACCTTGTGTATGAATGTCGAAATAAGGCCTTGCTGGAGTTTCTGGTTTAGTGCTCTCACATTTCAGAATCTAGAGGCAACTATGATCTTTACAAGGGCCCACCTGAATTTCTAGGTCTTCAACTCTTCTTCCAAAAGCTTCAATAGAATTGCAACATCAAAAGTAGTATCCTCACATATAAACATAGAATGCGTGCAAATGTAAACAACCCAAACGAAAGAAGGCAAATTTTCCAGGAAGAGGGAATTCGGGAAGGAACCGATTGAAGCTTGAAATCCTATACAGTAGCATGCGGCCAACGGGTTTATGGAGGTTTTTGTCCTATTTGAGTTTAAATGGAGAGTTTGATCCCACGCTGCACTATAACAATGGCCATCTTACTTTTCATCAAGCTTCTGTGCGGGTTCGAATTGAAAGCGGTTGCATCTACAACCCTCAATATTCATCGCTAGGTCTCAACAGAATACTAAAGATAGCAATTGGGATCCTGCAGTACTTGGTATTTTCATGTTGTGACTACTTGCGCAGCCAAGATCTCCTGACTTAAGTAGTTCTGCCTGCATTCCCAAATAATTCGTATGGTGTTTTGTTATAACACCGTAACTCTTTCAGTATATTTTCACATGAAATTGTAATATACTATGCTTATCAGCGCTCTTTTCCTTTATTTCGCGGCTATTTTGTAGGCTCGTGGAACAAAACTACGTTCGGAGCACCAAACAAACTCTGAAAACAAAACACGTCCAGGACTCCTGGAATTCATCGCGCTAACAAAACCAAAAACAGTTTCAGGACTTCCAGAACCCATGGTACCAACAAATTCAAAAGCAACCAACAGTCCAGGACTCCTGGACCTCGCGGTGCCAAAAAGCGTTAGGACCCTTAATATAGACCTGGTAGGATCCTCTTATCGCAAGGACCCCAACAAGGTGCCGTAAATTTCGGAAACCCCCCAAAAGAAAGCCAACAAGAAACAAACCCAAAGACTCAACATTCCTGAAACTCCTCAAGCTCCAGACCATGTCTCAGAGAGTTCCGAAATACTGTTGTTGTCGTCGTCTTTTCCGTAATTGCAAGTGACAATTGCTCGATGAGTTCTGAAGTATGGTTTTGTTTTTGGTATTGGTTTGTTGGTTTGCCGACGAGTTTTGGAATTTGCAATCGAAATACATGAAGAAGGCAGTGACAAACACGCAAAAAACGCGCATGCCCAGGTCCCCCATTATATGCATACATATATAGACATATACACGTATATACATACATGTTTACCCGGAGGGCATGGCCGGATTGAACGCCGGATTCAAGCTTAATTCTTAGGGGTTTTAGGGCCCATCACAAGCATGGCGTCCATGTCCGCAGAAGACCACATCTTGTGCAGGTCTCAGACTGTCCTGTGCAAGCCCCATAGGGCCCCCATGCTCCATGTACCAAAAAGATGCCCCCCGCAACAAGCTTTGCAGCCTTGCAGGGGGTGGATTTCGTTGAATCGAGTTCCAGCCAACTGACCTAGTTCTTCAATTTCTCGGCTTTTTTGTTTAGCAGCACCTAGGCTCTCTGGCGGCTCACTCCTGCGAACGCCGGGCCGGAGCTCGTGCAGGACTGACCTGGACAAGGCGCCACGCCGTGCATTCTGCTTGATGAACCTCGTGCTTTGCTTTGAGTCTTTGCTTTGAGTTTTTGTTTTCGCCGAGGGAATGATTCCTGGTCTTTCATCGTGGCAATGCACAGCCGAGTGGCCCGACAACCAATTCAGCAAAAGGCATCTGCCACAAGCACCTTCGTCCGGCTTTTCTGGGATGCTTTTCTCCCCATGTTTCTCCAAGAATCCTGTCAAGATCGTTTTGCGAAGTCGGAGCTGCCAGAGGCTGACAGCGGCAAGCGCCGTGTCCATGCTGCCCCAGCTCCAGGACGAACGTTTGCGCAGGGTCTTCTTTTCATGCCTGTAGGGCCGTTGGGCCTGCTTCATGAAGACGCAACGGCACAAGAAAGCAAATGGATTGCGAGATGAAGTTAGACTTGGAAGCGCCTGTTGTGATTGCCTTCTTGGCTCAGGGTGCTGTTTCGGGATTCTCGTAGCACCCTGCCTGGGCCTAGCTCCCCACGGTTCCGCTTTGATCTCTGCCGTCCTGAAAGTGCCAGAGCCCAGACTGGGCACAGCATGCAGCAAGAGATCGGGAGTTCTAGCTCGGCTGTTATCAAACCTTTCCATTTTTGTGAGGCCTGTAGCTTACCAAAGACAACGCTTGGAACGATGTCTTCATCAAGGCCGCTGGCTTCGGTCCAGGTTGGTCAAGTACAATTCACCTGTTCATCGCAAGAGATTGCGACATGCGGGTGGCAATGGATTGAACATTCGCTTCGTGTTGGCACGTTGCACTGCGCGGCTCCTGCTTGCATAGGGTGATGCCAGGCAGCGACGCGAGCGTCATGTCTTTTTGCTGGTTCTTGCAGCGGTCCTGGTGCCCGCGAGAGCGGCGGAGGCGCACGCGCGCTTGCACGCTCAAGAAGTATGATCGAATCTTTCAGCATGCTCCGACATGTTGTGGAGACGGAATGTCACATGCCCTTCCTGGCTGCAGCAAAGATAGTGCATTGTGAACCGCAGCGACACCACACTCAGGAACTGAGGCGAAACTTTCGCACTCAAGCACCATCTAGCGCTTTGACTGAGGGTGATGCCTTCGGATGTGTATCTTGAATCCTCCGATGTTTTGTAAGCTGACGTGCAGATATCATAGCAAGTGAGGATCTAACGTATTCCTGCAGGATCGAAGAAGCAGGGCGTGAAGGGATGCAAAGGAGATGTCGGGATACGATGGAAGGAACTTGGCGTGTTACATGCTTAGGTGGCTTACGATGTATTACGTCATCCTAGCCCCTAGCCGTGCTTGCGCCTTTTTTGGGGGCCATTTGTGCCAAGCCATGGCCTCGGCCAAGGGCCGTTCCTGGGATGCTGTCGGCTTGGCGACGGCAGGGGGAGCGTTGGGACCATTGGGCACTTTTGGGGGACCTGTACGATTTTCGGGAACCTGGGAACCAACTTTACTTTGATTCTGGGAGGATGTGAAGGATGTGGCGAGACAAGGGGGCTTCAATCTGCTTTGCTTTTAGTCTTTCATTCCTCTTGTCATTCCTTTTGGGTGCTTGGCAGGTAGGCTTCTTGGGTGTGCTGGGCGTGCGCCGCCGGGCGGAGCTGCCGCCTCGTTCTGGGCACCAGGACCAGCCACAAGAGAATGCAGATGAACTCGCAATGCCTTGCAAATGTCCCCTGAAAACTGCCCCCTTGTGTTGCCGAAGGAGCTCAAGCTGCCCAGTGGTCCGCTGTGCATCGTCACGGGCGCCTCCTCAGGGATGGGTGCCGAGGTTGCATGGGGACTGGCAGAGGCCTGGGCACCTTGCAGATGCAGCAGCCTTTCCTTTCGAAACCCCGTATAGCCTGGATGTTGCTCACGAGGTCTGACATGTGTTGTGGCAAATTGCCGATAAGCTCGGGATGAGCGGAGGCCGGGGCCAGCCGGGTGTGGATGGCCTGCCGCAGCTTGGAGCGCTGCGAGCAGGCACGCGGCGCAGGGGTGGCACGTACGGTGGCACAATGGCACGTGCCGTGGAGATGGGCCTTGCGGAGGCCCGTGCCAGGATGTTTTCACGGTGCGTTGCCTCCTTGGACAGCGCAGGCCAGCAGTCGAGCTTGACATGTGAGATTGTCTGGATTAATCAATCAAGTCACTTCGATGCGCAAGTTCGGGGCCCCTGTTTGCATGTCCAGTGCGGAGGCTCTGACTATGATATGGCTTCGGCTCGTGTGTCGGCCACCTCCCTCCGTGCAGCCAGGCAGACTGTGAGGAGGTTTTGAGGTTCAAAGCTTCAGGGTATTCAGATCCTTTCTGTCGCAGTTCGGCTGAACGGCCAAATGGAACATGTCCTCGTCGGCATCAGCCAGGCGACGGCAGTGCCAGCAAATCCAGCGGAGGTTGGAGTGCAAGACGCTGGACTTGACAAGCTACCAGCTCCTCGGTGAACTGCTAAGCATGTTCCACGCAGTTGAGTGTCAGGCCGTCTGGGATGGTCTGGGGTTGAATGCTTGCGGGGGTCTCCCGCAAACCGTGATTAGGATCTCACCCGCTCTGTGAGCTCCGTTTCCTGTGGCTTGCTGGTCTGCATGGTTTGCAAGCTTGCAACGGTTGGTCCCCTGGTGTCAGGATGGCAGTAAAGAAATTGTTGTCAGGTTCAATGTCGGGACGGTTTGCTGTCCATGTCCAGGCCCGTCTACTTTACCCTATCCAAACCAGGTTAGTGAAGATGCAACAAGGAAGTTTCAAAGTCAACAGCGTGTCCATGTTCGTCAGGTGTGCCCCCGAACCCAGACAAGAACCACAAGCCGACAAGCCGTCAGGCTAGCTCACATCTCAGGAAGCAGACATATCCAATACATCAAGCGTGTGACGTGTGAGAAATCCAGCAGCAAAACGGTCAAGGGTTGAAGGCAACGCAGACAGCTGTAGAAGCTAAAGGTGGTAAAGAGGCTGAAGAGTCAGAGCAGACGATTTCTGGTTCAAAGCAGGCACAGGACTTCTGTAGGACACATATGGACGCATCATTCGTCGTCTTTCAAGCCAACCCCAACATTGATTGGATATTTCATGCTTTCGTTTGCTGACGCAGCCAATGGAGAAGAGTCTATTTCGGAGCAGGCCCTCGAAGATCAAGGCTAACAAGAATCAATTAAACACCCCACAACGTCGTATCACCGTTTCCACAATCTGTGCTCCACAAGTCTCGGAAGCACCCGTGGCGGCTGAGGATTCTGTCGCGGCATCAGGCCACGACATGTTTTAAGAGTCCATATGTCGCGTTTGAGGATCAACCCCGCCCTTTGCAAGCGCTCACATGAATCCTCCACGTTCAAATCATTTCGGGTTCTTTGGCAAAAGAAGTTTTTCCCAGCTTGATGCAGAGGTCGATCGAAACCTTCGTCAAGGAGACCGCAAGCCAAAGTGCGCAGCTTGTGCTGGTCAACAATGCTGGTGTCATGGGGGACCCGGATTGTGATCTTGAAAAGCACTCTGGGAACGAGCCTGTGGATGCACAAATGCGCACAAACCACTATGGCCACTTTCTGCTAACCACAATGCTGCTGCCGAGCATGGACCCGTCGTCTATCCTGGTGGTAGTTGCAAGCAGGGCGCATCGACAAGGGTCTCTGACAATTCAAACCCGTGATCCCGAGGTCGTCCTGAGGAGTGAAGAGATTCAGGGATCTCCTCCTTATGCTCAGCTGTTGCACGCACTTGGGCTTGGCTGGTATGCTCGCTATGCCCGGTCGAAGCTGTGCAACGTCCTTTTCGCAGCAGAGCTACGCAGAAGATATCCTCATGGCCCGATCAGCGTTGCAGTCTCCCCTGGCCTCGTGAACACGGGAATCTTTTCATCTGTTCCGGCACCTCTGGGCAAAGCTCTAAGCTGGTGTGCGGAGAGGCTCTTCCAGACGCCGCAGGAGGGCGCAGGCCACATCCTTCAGGCGATTGCGGCCGCACACGCCGCGCAAGAGGCGCGTGCTGCGGTCTCGGCAAAAGGGGGAGAGGTCAACTTGGAGCTACCCCTGTACTGGCACTGTGGACAGCCGCAGGAACCCTCCCAAGCAGCCATGAACGAAGACCTGGCCAAAGCACTCTGGCATGCCAGCGAGCAAGCTGCGACAAGTATGAGAAGGGCAATGTGACGACTCGACTCCCTCGACGGTGTGTATTGGCATCCTGCATCTGCCCGACATCTTCGGACCCTCGACATCCGTCTCTCTTTCAGAGTCCTGCAGGGAGCAGCAGCCAGGTACCTTGCGGAGAGCGCTCTCCAGACGCTTCAGCACCCCACAGGTTCAGGATTCGACAAGTAGCGGGGTCAATCGCTTTGGTTCACCAAACAGTTTTAGTGCAGAGGAAAAATCGCAGCATACCCGCTTTTCTTGTCTGAGCACATGTTGCAATGCCTGGAGTGGGCGCAAACTGTGCGTGGTGGTGCAGGCGACTGCTCTTCACGACCCGCAGCCGAAAGGAAACACATCACATACGTCAATGCCAGCCTTATTCTGAGAGGGAAGCCTGCAAAGCTTGCGGCGAATGCGACTTTGAGGGCCAAGAATCTTCGCTGGCACATGCTGGCACCTGTCGTGCGGCGCTGAGGAGCCTCGGCCTCCCGCTGCCATCTTGCAGAGTGTGGCAGAGGAGACTCTTTGGAGTGTGCGTGCTGCACTTGCCAGCGTTCTCCGCACGACAATTGTCTTGGTACGGTCTTCCTTGCGAACCTTGGCAGGAGATCAAGCAGGAGTTGAAGGAAACCGAGTGCCCTCGGGGACAGGAAGTACGTGTGCACAGTGAGAGCAGGTTTTTTCGTTTGTTTGCTGAGTCCTTCACGAGCTAAGGTACCAGGGTGTTGCAGCGCTCCTTGCTCTGACCCAAGGGCTGTGATTTCTGTGATTTGCTCTGGGAAACACCAGCTTGCCACCAGAAGGCTTCAGGAGGTACTTTACAAGAAGCACTTCGGAAATCGCTGTGTCCAGATCCGTCTGAGGCCTTCTGCTTCGGCACCGTCCTCGTCTTCAACGGCGACTTTTCCTTCAAGGGGATCATCGCCTGTCGGCTGCTGAGTTTGCTCGGAGCTTCTCTTAGATCCTGGGGCCCGAGCTTCGCCGGGTGCTCTCCGTTGCTTTCTCCCCTATTTCCCCCTTCCCCGGGCCCTTCATTGTTCTGTTACTGGGTGGGCTCAGTGGGCATGAGCTCAGTGGGCATGAGCTCAGTGGGCATGAGCTCAGTGGGGCCCGAGCTTGCTCTCCTTTGCTTCGGCCGGGAAGCCTTCGTGAGTGCCTCTGTTGTTGTGCCTCTGTCTTGTGCTGAGAGCATAAATGACAGGTGGGCATGCGGGGAGACGAGATGTCTTCCAGACAATACGGTAAGCTGCACTTGGTTTGCTCGATGTGGCGTGGACGGCGCTCTTGCACGGAGAAAAGCATTCTTCTTTCCGCCGTTCAGCCGTTCAGTCAGACGAAATTGATGTTTTCCATGCTCTTAACAATGAAGAAATAGAGGTTTTCCTACCAACATGCAAGTAAAACAAAGGTTGTCATTCAAAACTTTGAAGAAATGGAAGTTGTGTTCTATGACAATCATAGAAAGAGGTTGCCTAGGTGAAACAGAGTTTTCGAAGGAAAGGAACTTGGGTTAAGAGAACGTTCGAATCCTCTTCCAAACCCGTCATGCGAGATTGTGTCAGGGTGCCACATCGATGATGATGACGTCATGCGAGATTGTGTTTGCAAATTGGGGCTGTGCCCATACCCCTCAAATCCGACGCTTGTGTCTCACGTGATTTGAAACCTTGCAGCTTTATAAACGAAGATCATGCCATAAAGAGGGCTTGCGTTAAGAAAACATGCGCGTCTTCTTCCAAACCTGTCGTGTGAGGATTGTTTTTTCAATTGGGGGGGGGGGGTTGGCTGTTCTCCCTTCCCCCCTCAACTACCCCGCTTGTGTTCCATTTCTTTGAAGCCTTGCAAGCCTGCTTTCTAGAGCAGATCATGCCATAAATTTTTTCGTTAAGAAAACTGTGCATCCTTCTCCAACCCCGTCATGCGAACATTGTGTTTGCAATTGCGGGCTGTTCGCCCCCCACCCTGTTTCCATTTTGTGTTTTACTTCTTTTGAAGCCTTGCAACCTAACTGTACAAGCAAAGATGATGCCGTAGAAAAGACTTGCATTAAGAAAACATGCAGATCCTCTTCCAAACCTGTCATGCGAGGATCGTGTTTGCAAATGGGGGTGTGTGGCTGTCCCCCCCCCAACTCCCCCGCTGTTTTTGAGCCTTGCTAGCTTGCTTGATAAAGAAGATCATGCCATAAAGTTCTGCGATAAGAAGACCTTGTCCAAACCCGTCATTTTGAACAGGTGTTTTTTTTCAGAGCAAAACAACGCTTGATGATCGCACAGCCGGCTTACCTGCTCCCACGATCGCAGAGGTGGCAAATTCATGCGAATCACCAACAGCTCTCAACTTTGTGATTCATGCTCTTTGGGGTCTTTGCTGGCATAGGTTTTTGTCGGGTCGTACACCTGCGAGCTTTGGTTGAAACATGATAAACATGCTCTTGTTCTTTGGAGGTTCTGTGTTTGTAGTGGTTGGCATCACGGCGATGAACGAAGTGAATGCAACAGCCTCGGGACTCTGGTGAAGCTTCTGTGCGCATTGAGCCTGAGTTGCTTAGAATTGTGAGCCCCGTTCCTGGCGAGCAAACATCCACGGTCAGCAAGTTCTGACCTGCCTGGATTTCAGGTAATGTACTCAAACGACATCAAACGACTCAAACGCTCCAAGGATTGGGGTCACATGGCCCGGTCAGTCGTCGGTTTGGAGGCGCCAAAACCTGGTGTGCTAAGGGCTTGGCCCCGCGAGAACATCTCCACAGTTTTCCACGAGTGGCTTGTTCCCTGAACACTGGACCCTCGCAAGAGTTTAGGGTTTCCGGTTTAGGGTTCAGGGTTTAGGGTTTAGATGGGTTCAGGGAGCATGGCTGACCAGTGGGAGGCCGGTTTTGTCGGAGCCTTTGCTGCGTACCGCGGCATGGACGGCATGGAAATCACGGTAGGCTGGGCTGGGCCTTGCAGTACTTCTTTTTGCTGATGCCATCATGACACAGTTCATCACAGTACACCACATGGCCATCGCTTGGAACCGTTTGGGTCCCTGTGGACTCTGGGGGTTGCTGTCAGGAGCTTTTCTGGGCGTACTGTTGGCGCTGCGACTGCTGCATCTTCTCAGTGCGCCGAGCCCACAGAATTTCCCAGATGTAGATGGCGTCGGACATTTGCTGATTGAAGGTGCACGTTGTGCGAGCTCCGAATAGATTGTTTTTCAAACCCGGCAATTCTTTCACTATAACCTCAGGCTCGGCCTTCATTTCGTTACAGACCACAGGCGGGGCAGTCATTGAAGCGTGTGGCTTTGCCCTGAAGAGACAGTAAAGTGACTGCCAAAGCATCACGCATCAAGTTTGGCAGTCTAGGTGTGCATGATGTATTTCTGCGTTCAACCAACCTGCCTTGCCATCATGTCGGTTCAAATGGGAAGCATCGCCAGAACCAAGCTGGAATGATTTTGACTCCGGTTGGGCAGTGTGCGCACTGATTTTTCGATCCAAGGGGAGTCACGGGGTCCAAGGGGAGTTACCCCGTGGTCCCATCCTTGTGGTATGAGCGGAAGTGATCAGTCTGCTTGCGAGGTCCGTTCACCTCGCATCGGAGCCGGGGCAGGATGTCAAACCTTGATGCGGCCGAGGTCAGGGGATTGAAATGTTTCCAAGCCTCGGCCAGGCCTTCCCCCACAAGGCCGCGACATCATGCCCCTGCACTGGCTTGCGGTGGCGGGTGGGAGCAACGGACCAGGTCACTGTGGAGCACATCGCGGCGGCATTTCGGGCATTCCGAGCTTTGGAGTCAGTGGTGCAGGAGTGGATGCAAACTTGACCAGAGGTCACCAGGCGAGAAACTTTGCACGAAAACTGGCTCCTTGGAGCTTGCGGGAGTTCTTGTATCTTAAAGTTTAGGGTCACAGGGGGGCGGGGGGGCTCCCTCCTTTGGCATGCCTTGATCCTGTCTTGAGCCTCGGAGAAGCGTCTTTGGCCGAGTTATCGGGAAAAGCCTTGCGCGGTATCCTCTTGAAATCCCCACCCACGGGCCTGCAACTTATGTCAACCTACTGCGTCCGAAATACGACAAGAATTGTAAACCCAAAAAGCAAATGAATCATGCCAGGTTATCTGGACTCACAGCCTGCAACCCCCCCCCAAAAGTTGAGTCTGTTACCTTCAGCCCTAATGGCCGCGTTTCACGGTTGCCGACAGCGCTGCCTGCTGAGAAACGCCAGCCGCGTGCCACCTAGGACGCCCTAGCTTGCGTTCGCCCTGCTCTGAAGCTTTTTTGGCTTTGCAGGTGGGTGACGTTGAGTTTCTATACGCTCTTCGTTGCCGCTGGGGTCATGTTGTCGCAGGCTAAGCTTGCTTTCACGCCACCTACGCAAATAGTGAAGTTCATTTTGTACAGTAGGAGGGAGGGGAATGTATCTGTGTGTCTGAGGGAGAGAGTAGATAGATAAACCTGAATTTTGGCTTGAGCAGAGAATGCAATGCTGAGGTTCTTCCGGAAGCATCATCTCAGGTTGCTCGCACCCTTGTCTGCATGATGAGTCTTGACTTCTGGTTTTAGTGACACTGACCCACTGCGATTTCCACACAGGCCTGGAAAAGCTTCGCATAGATAGGGCTAGAACACGGCTTTTCTTCGGATCGGTCGGGGCAGGACCATACTGCAGCAGAGACCAGCAGGGCCAACATCACATACCCAAGATGATCGAACTGTTGCTCAGAGCATAGTGAGCACAAGTCATGGCCCTAGCTGTAACCTCAGACTAGTTGCCGATCAGGCATTGCTTTCTGCAGCCATCGGCGGAGCCTTCTGCACCTCTGCTCTTGCGTCAGAGCCCTACAGGGGGTGGAAGTAGGATGAGTTGCGGGAGCAACGTTTCCAGAACACGGTCGTTGTGTGAATTCGATCCGTGCGCTGGATGGCACAGTGCTCTGTTTGTGGCATTTGTGGCATTCATGTTCCTGAACGCTTGATGCGGGTTCTTGTGCTGGACGTGTTCTGCCTGTAGGTTTGCGGTAACCGACCTGGCCCGGAAGGGGTCCAAAGCTCAGAAATCACCGAAGCCGATGGATTTGAGAGATTTTGAGGGATTTCGAGAGGATTTGAGAGGATTTGAGAGATTTAGAGACTCTAAGCGATTTTGAGAGATTTTTAGCGTCTTCGGACTTTTTTGAGGTATCTGGCATTCTTGATGCAAGCGTTGCCGGGCCTCAAGCCTCGAGGAGGAACATGGGCCAGGGCCTCAGTCGGAGAAACAAAGAGAATCACACCGTGGCTGTCACAGCAGCTTAGCAGGGCGGGGCAACAGTGCTCCAGTAGTGTTTGTTCAATAATCGAGTTCATGAACACATCTGCATCAGGGGACTTCTGTTGCGACGTTTGCATTGGCATTGAGTTGGCCTTATTATCCTGATTGTCAAGCCTGCATGCACCCGTGTTCCCTCACACTTTAAAGTTTGCGTCGGCAGAATTGGCAGGTAGAGTTCTTTGACATGCTCTGGTCGCACGCTCCTCAGACCGGAAGAGGAATGCACAGCTTGAACTCCAGTGCGTACAGGTGCTGCGCAGATCCCAAGGGCCAGACGGCCTAAGCAGCATTTCTAGGTTGACCCGATTCTGCCATATGGACCATATCAATATAATATTCCCCCATTGTGCCACGTGTTTGACAGCTTCAAAAAGCTCCAAACGGTTCAAAGAGTCGGAGGGCTGCATGCGGGCAGGGTTTGAGGGTGATGCCAGGGCGGCGAACGCAATCCCCAATCTTATGGAAAGTAGTTCTTTTGGTTTAGGGCGTAGGGCTTAGGGTTTAGGTTTCCTTTTTTCGTAGAGCTCGACGCAGACTCCGCTACCGCACGATGCGCGAAAGGTTGCCTTAGTGTGGCTGCCCCCCTCCCACCCCCCCGCCCACCCACCGTTCTTTGTTTTTTTTTTTTTTTTTTTTTTTGTGTGTGTGTGTGTGTGTGTGTGTGTGTGTGTGTGTGTGTGTGTGTGTGTGTGTGTGTGTGTGTTTTGCCTCCCATGAAGAGGACTTGCGTCAAGCTTGATTCGTCAAGAATGCTTCCCCGCATTTGTTTTTTTCAAGCCATGCAAGCTTGTTTTGCAAAGAAGATCGTGCCAGACAAAGGACTTGCATGAAGTTCGCTACGTGCTTCCCCTTACCCCCCTTGGCATTTAATTCATTTTCAGTCCGTGCACGGAATCCTTTCCAAACCCGTCTTGCAACCATTGTGCCTGCAAATGCGGGACCGCGAAGCACCCCAACCCCGCCGTGTTTTGCCCGCGCACACTTGCTTTGTAAAGAACATTCGGCCATAAAGAAGTACGCATCGCAATCATCCCAGTCATCCCAGTCGCTTCTGCCGGCCCATGCCGGCCTTGTTTAGCTCCATGTTTCATCGCAATTTTGCCACCGTAGTGAGAATCCGCCACGTGACTGCCTTTGTTGGACTTACCGGAGACGGGCAGGGAAGTCGGCTGCACACACCAGATTTGTGTTCTGCGTTTCATTGTCCAAGGCCCTTTGCAGCCCCAGTGTTATCAGGAGATTGCAGAAAGTTGGCATCAATGAGATTTTGCTGCCTGCCTGTAAAATTATCTTCGGATGCCAAAGACTTTTAGGACACGTCAAGATAATACCTTACATGACGACCCGAATCCTTTGCCAATGGTTTGCGGTCGCATCCATGTACGATTATTTCATCATGTATTTGTTTGCCGGTTTTACCGACGTTTAGAGCAGCGCAGTGCACTGATTACCATTGCTTGTCGAGGCCGGGGGCCGAGGAGTTGGGCTTGTTTGCCGGCTCAAAGTACGATCCTGTCGTCGAGGGACGAGTGTCGCTTGGATCCACTTGGTGAAGGGTTACCCAGCATGACCCAGACATGGTTGTGCGCTGTGCGTTCTCGCCCCCCCTCCCCCACCCCCATCGCATCCCTCGCTCCCATGGTCTACAGTCTCCCCTAAACCAACTCAACCTTAAACCCTAACCCCTAACCCTAAACCCGAAACCCGAAACCCTAAACCCGAAACCCTAAACCCTAACCCCTAAACCCGAAGCCCTAAACCCTACGCCCTGAATCCTAAAACCCTAAACCCTGAAACCAACCCACAGTGCTGATGTGTGTGCGTACGTGTGATGTGTGTCCGAACCTGGGCCAGCGATTGCAGTTCGATGTACTGTTCGATGTTGCATACAGGTCAGTTGCCAAGATACTTGGTTATGCCGGTTTCATTCGGCTTCAGCTAAGGTATAGCATAGACCGCATGGCCGACCTTGGTCTCTGGTCAAAAGCTGAGATACCCGAACTTCTATCCAGCGGCATTCTTGATGTTCTCAAGCTTCAAGCATCCGGCTGACATGCTGACGCTTCAGTGAGGTTCATCTTCTTCGTCGTCGGGTCCGTCGTCCAGATCAGGCAAGGGCTTTGGGGATGGGAACCCGCAACCTGAAAACCCAGAGAATATGTTCCGAGGGTAACCCCCGGCAGCCAGTTACTAAATGTATTCTCAAGTGTTGCGCAAGGCCCTGGATTCTCCCACAGTACCCCTCACGAAGGAAGCTCAGACCCGCTGCAGTGGAAGACGTCCGGGCCCGAGTCGGAAGCATCTGGTGCCATTCGAACTGCTTTGCAGAGTGGTTCGCCTTGACATCCGATCCGCAAGCCATGTTAGGGAATAGCCAAGAGATGTCGCACAAATTGCAAAGCAGAACCCGATGATGTGTACTGAGCCGAGGAGGCACGGAAGCCGCTCCTCGGCGAGCTGCCGAGATAGTGTGGCCGAGAGACGCCGTTCCAACGGCTCTGGCCACTGTAGGTCGGGTAAAGAGACAGAGAGTTCTCATTGCAGCTACTGCTACTCACAGCTACTTGAAGTGTTGGGTAGGATGGATTTGGAAGTGTGTGTGTGTGTGTCTCTGTGTGTGTGTGTGTGTGTGTGTGTGTGTTGGTTGGTTGTCTTCTTTTCTGCGTGAGAAGACAGTTGACCTCTTGTCAGTATGCGAACATGTAACGGGCGTGCTGCCCCAATCACTCGAAGCTTTCTGTCACTTTATCGGACACTGTTATCATCAGTTTCGCTTTGATCCGACGCTTCAGATCTGGAGATGTTGCTTCTGGCGATACACCCTTTCAAGCGTTGTGCGGAGAGAAGCTTTGATCAAAGCATGTTCATGTTCTTGCGCGGGTCACCTCTAGAGCTTTGAGCAGAAGCTGGACAAGGATTAAAGTCCATAGCTGTTTCAGTTCCGACCCGCTGCAGATAAACGCATCACGAATGATTGTGCCGTTTGTCAGGGGAAGCAAACAAAAGATTGAGACCTTTCGCCGCCGACGTTTGGCTTCTAACTGTCTAAAGTTCCATAGCACCGATCGGCAGTTGGAGACCACATGATGCCGCGTCCAGCCCACCTCCACCTTCGCTTGTCTTTGCCCGCAGGACTTTGGACGGACGAGCAGCATCCACTTCTCTGACAACTTGGCCAGGGCTTCGTGTTTTCTGCAGAGAGCGTGTGTTTCTGGCTTTTACAATTTCTACCATGTGTTTGGAGCCTTGATCTCATGGGTTCAAATCAGGGCTGGACATCACTTCGTTGCAGCCGTTGCAACTATCCAGGCCCGGCCTCTTCATGCTGACTTCCTGCAATGGCAGACAAATGCCAGGCCTGCTTGGCATGTTGAATTTCTTCATGGCTGCCGCTTCTTGATCTTCTTGCAAGAAGCATTTTTGGCTGAGGCCATCCCTGAAAAACAGAGTGACAAGATGTGATAACATAGTGAAAAGTCCGCGAGTTCTGGTAGCTGCTTAGGGCTCCCAAGTGTTGCTGGTCTAGGTGACTCCCTCCGTGGCAAAATGAAGACAATGTGGTGACATGCCTAATACGGGACAATGCAAACACAAACTCCTGCAGACCTGTCGGAGAGTCGTTCACCATTTGTAATTGAAGTTTGAAATTTTCTGCGCATGAATGACGCCAGTTGTGGGCACCAACATCGCTTGTGGCCACTTTTCTCGCTAGCTAGCCGAGCCGGAAAGAAAGGTGCAAATTGTTTGTTCGGATGTCCCTGCGCGGAAGGCAGTGGTGTCCAGTTCTGGAAAGGTGTGCGCAACCTTGACAGCTAGAAATTGACAACCCTGAGCACCATGACAGTGCGAATACGTTTGAAGTTCGGAGAGGGGGGCACTCGTTGCCAAGCTCGGGGTGTCTTGGGATCATGTTCCATGTGTTGATGCTTCGATATAAGAATTTGCTATTAGAAATAATGTAGCAGTTTCATATTCTCATTTTGTTAAAAACGTGCTTATATAATGAGAGTATGAGATAATATAGTATAACAATATCAAGACATACGAGGTATCATAATATCAGCATAGCATGTATCATAATATCATAATATCATAATATCATAATATCATAATATCATAATATCATAATATCATAATATCATAATATCATAATATCATAATATCATAGTAGCAGAATATCATAACATAACAACCGAAAATAGATAACAAGATGGTCATAGCATATTTAGACTGTAATATGAGAATTTAAGATCGGAATAGTAAAATAAGGTACTCAGGCAAAGGAGAAAATGCATCAAGATGATACGGTCTTGATACCTAAAAATAAGTAACAAAATGACATACATTTATAATTGTACGTTAATATCATAATGTGAGAATATTATAAGATAATCATATACTTTCGTATGTTAAAATACTACTAATGTACAAATATGGTGATACAATAATATAACAGAATATCAAAGAATGTAATCCAGTAATTGAACAATAGAATAATGGAAGAATAGAATAATGGGATAATTGAATAATTGAACAATAGAACAATAAAATAGTAGAAAAATAGAATAGTAGAACAATCAAATACTTGAATTAATTCAAGAATAGCCGAATACAATGATGCAATAGTACAGTGATATAAGAAAATGCAATATGAGGATGCCTTAGGTTGCATCTGAAGCTTTCCGCCCGATTCCGACCCTGGAAATCCGGTGGCCCAGAGAATGGTCGGTTTTTAGGGTTGAGGGCCCAAAGCTCTTTCGAAACTGCTCGCAGATCCATTGCCGTTGCCCCACCGATTTGTTCGAGTGGCGGCCCGTGCCTCCACAAATGCAGTGGGCCCGTCTTTCCGCCTGCAAGACAGCCTTGCCGCTGCCATTACCATGCCCTGGACTACGGGGCGTTTGGGTCGCATTCCAGCGCAACCACGGCATAATCAGGAAGAGGGCTGGCTAGAAGTGTCAGCCGAGATGTCTTGAGAAAACGGTGGTCGATTGTTATGCAACGAGTAGTGCTGATGGCACTTGCTCATTGGGCAAGAAGCTTACACGAGCAGGAAAAGAGAGATCACCGGACCCCGGGTTCCATGTGTGCGTAGTTCCTTCGAATTTGCAAATGGGCGGCTCCGGTGAGGGATGGTTTAGCCATTGGTAGGAATTCTTCGGCTGCATGCTGCAGGGAGGCCAGCAAAACATGATGAATTCAACTGATCCGGTGCAGTCGGGCAGTGCCAAAGGCAAGGCTGTGTAAGACCATATTTGGCTAAGGGCAAAAAAACGTTGGCAGAACTTGTGCAAGGGGTCTGGCACGATGTGTATCGGTAGATGTCGGGACGTCGTAAATTTTTCTTGGTAGCTCCAATCGAATTTTACAACCGTGTGTAGACGGTTGTGCCAAGATCTTGGAAAAACCTGCAATTTAGAGGCTCATCGTGGTAACGTGTGGCTGGACAACAAGAGATCGAGACATTCAAGATCCCTCGCCGCACTGTTCGAGCGAGGGCACAATGGGCAGATACTGAGAATTCTGATCTTGCTCTCGTATGTTCTCCTCCTGGCAGGAAGCTTATCCGCGCCTATGCCCGCGCAGCGGCGCAGTTCATTCTTAAGGTTGTCTGGACACTCGGTCGTGATGTTGCCTGCATTGCCCCGGCTGTGTGTCTTTCACTGCGTTGCGTTCCCTCCGAAGTCCGGAGGTTGTGTATGTCCGAGGCTTTCGTTTCCTGGGCTTCACGCTGGCAGAGGTGTCACTTGCATGTCCGTGCGGTATGGATTTTACACACGGCCTGCATGGGCCCAGAAATGCTAAGAGATGGGAGGTTTCCAGATGAAGTTTCGCCAGAGACGCAATTGGTGGGGACCCAACATGTCCTTGGTTCCCATCGGTTTCCCGTGTTGAGCCCATGACAACAAGCAGTCCAGGCTTCTTTCACAGGAAGCGTCGAGAGGCTTGGGGTGCAAAGTTCTGTGCAGTTCTGTTGAGTTTGAGTTGGCTCATGTTGGCTCTTGTCATCCCCAATGGTCACACCAACCCAAGTCTGCAGGCAGGAAGACGCAGAGGCCACAGCGGCCCGGCCTAATGCAGTTTCCAGCCTTTGCTGCGAGATTTGCTGTTGTGAATGCAGAGCGCCTGTTTCCACTGTTCGACAGTCCCAACTTAACAACTGGTTTGAGATGTGCTTATCGAAGCATTGCCCGAAGCTTTGGGTTGCTTAGCTAGTTTCGAGATGGTCGTCGACAAATTAAGTGACTGAGAGGTGTCGATGTCAGAAGTACACGAGAAAGCGCAGCACACGCAGCATGCGCAGCCCAGGCCAGGCTCTCGACATTCGCAGAAGAGGGAAGAGAATGTGGAGAGAGAGGTTCCCATTTTTTTTTGAACAGTCTAGTTCTCTGCAGATCGCAGAGTTTGAGTCGACTTGGGGTCTCCCGTGGCCCGCTTTTGCAGAGGCAAAGCCACGAATCTGAGGAGCAGTTCCGCTACCAGGACAGCGAACGACTTTTGAGCGACTTGCTTGGCTCAGAAAGCCTGCTCAGGAGCTTTTCTTCGACGCACAGCACAGGGCAGAGCTGGCCGAGAGGTGGGAGATCCCTGTGGGATGTATGGTTGTTTGCTTAGCCCCCCAAAACCGCAACCCAGTAAGCCACGGCTTAAACTTTTGAAGGTTTTAGGAGTTCAGGGATTAAGGCCCTGAACCACACCTTCCATGATTTTCCTTAGGGCGCTAAAGAGGGGGACCGGCGCACACTCACGGAGCGCAATACCACTTAGTGAAGTATATACTGTATGCTGCTTGAGTCCTCGTTTTTCCCACAAGGAATGGGGCATGTGGCTATCGACGGTTGTAACTGATCCGAGCTCCCACAACGAACTTAACACAACAAGTGGTCGTCGCGAAGTCCGAATTGAACGTGGTGCGGTGTGCAAGTGTCTGCAGTGCAGGCAGGTACTGGAGCTGGAAGAGAGGCTCCGCCAACTCGCCGAGCCCTGCGCCTGGACTCGATGCAGATGCCCAACATTCCTCTGCGGCTCAGTTGTGGCCCAGTAGATGTAAGCACATCTAAAGTGCCCTCTGCTGCCAGAAGCCAGTCCCTGCCAATTTTGTCTGGAGCTGCATAGAGCTGACAGATGTGTTGCATGCGACACGATGTTTGGGACCCGGTCCCTTCAGTATTTTGCTCTTGTGGAGGCAGAGGCCTGAGCCGCAGGCGCACTCCCCATGTTGGTGAAGTATCTGAAGCTCCTTTGAGAAGATCAAGCAGTGAGATGTAAGGTTTATCGAAGCGGCTGCACTCTGCATGGCATTGACACTCTTGGAGAGTTCTTCATTTTTTTGGGCATCCCCCCGGCTCTGAGGACTGTGAGACTTTGCAAAGCATGCAAGCTGTACAAAAAGAAACACGGGCCTTTGTGATTCCCAGGAAATCCCCAGATCAGGGTCACCCCGGCGAAGCACAGCTTAGACCTTGAGTAGCTAATCGCCTGACCCAACCGCATCGAAGTACCTTCAGCCACCAGCAGTTGCAGAAGACAGTATGCATTTACATGCAAGCTCATGCGCGGACCGACGGTTCAGAAATCCCCAACTCTGCGTGAGCCCTGAGCCATCCTGAGCCTGGTGTACCTTTGGCTGCAGGGTAAGGGCCTTAAGTCTGCAGACTTAAGATGAGACTTGATGAGACTTGTGGGCTACTGAGTGTATGAGCATGAGCTTGGTGACAGTGTGGCAGTGAGAGGGAGACCGTCGGTGAGTCTGTTGACAATCCGTGTGCCTGTCGTGCATGTGACCGATATCTGCATTACGAGTAGGACGGCTTGTAGAAGGGTGCACAATGTGGCATTGCAATGCAACCTTGCACTTTGACACCAGCCTGTGTTCTTTTGCCTTGAAGGCTTTGCCGGCGGCAGCGACAATGGAGTTGCCGATTTGCTTCGCCAGCTCCTGAATCGAAGCACATAAGTACAAGCCAGCAAACCTTACCCGGTCCCTCGACGCGCTTTCTAATCCTTCTCCTGACGCTGAGGCCCTTTGGCGCCTGCAAGCATCGGCGGAGGTGGGCCTCGGTGTTCATTCCCTGCCGATGTTTATGCTTGAAAAGGTACTTCAAGACTCCTCTGTTGCGCACACCTGGTTCAATCTGTATCGAAGCACGTCTTTCACTTTCCATGCTCTGTGGCCATCACGTGGGGGCTAGTGTTGGGGTCCTGCCAGGTGGCGAAGAGAAAACAGGAGCTCCTGGAAGTGGATGTGGGGGAAGCCTGGGGTGGGCTTTTGCTTTTATCACACTTGAAGACAGGAGAGCTTGGAGCAAGAGCGGCAGGCAGCAGTGAGGTGGAAAGAGTGGTCTCACGACGGTTATGTTGATGCTGTCGGCATGTCAGCTCCCGTGGAAGTTGCCAACATCGAGGGATCACACATGGAACAACGCCTTGTGCAGAAGCGCTAAGCAAGTTTGCCGGTTTGCCGCAGGCTGTCGGAGCAAAAAGTCGCACAGCTTCAAGAGATGGTGATTCAGGCTGGTACTGCCAGGATTGACAATGCTCGGCTTCAGTGTGGCCGGGGCTGACCGAATCATTGCAGATGCCCTGTGCCGTTGTATCCCCAGGCCCAGCAGCAGTGCCTTCAAAGCATTCGAGACTCCGAGGCTTCGGCAGCCAAGGCCCGTTGTTTGCAGGGACCCAGGATGACGGCAGTTCGTGGCGTCATCTCAACTAGTTTCCCCCGGCCATAGTATCGAGGTTTCAGCTTCCCTCGGCCGGGGGGGGGGGGGGGGGGGGGGGGGGGGGGGGGGGGGGGGGGGGGGGCGGCGGAGGGGCTCAAAATCGGGGTGGTCAGGCGAACGCGAGAGCGGAGGTGGCCGAGGCGAAGCTGGAGGAGGCACGCAAAGTATGCGGTGCGCTGAGTTCCTTCTTCGTGTTTTGGAGCGGAGTGCTTCGCTTGCATCGCTTGCATCGCTTGCTTCGCTTGCTTCGCTTGCTTCGCTTGCTTCGCATGTACCAACATGTCATCTCATTGCAAATGCGTAGGCATCGAAAGGTGCACAAGCACAAACACCGTGGGTCGAATGCATGGTGCTTTGGGAGCATGGTGGTCGGCTTAACAACAGCAGCGGAGCCTCCAGTTTTTGGCTTCAGGCATGCACGACTTAAAGCCGGAGCGGGGCCGGGGTTTGGTCTGGCTTCTTTGAGACAGCTTGGATGGGTCTGCCGGTTTTCCCGTTGACGGTGTCGCCACTTTCCTTTCTCTCCCTTCAGGTTGGTCTGCACTCTTCTGTTGGGCTGGGTTTGCGGTGGCTGGCGTTTGCATTCTTGTCTCCTTTTATGTTGGATGGGTCTGCCAGGTTTCTCGTGGCTTATGTCTCGGCTTGTCTCCATTCGTCTCCGTTCATGTTGGATGGGTCTACTGGGTTACCTGTTGCGCCGCATAGAATCCCGCAGAGTTCTCCCTGCAGTGCGGACAAACACAAATGCGGTGAAGCCCCAGACTCCCTGAGGGCATACCGCGAGAGAACTCTGCAGACAATCCCGCCGAGAGCCGAGAGTCACGCATGAACACGCCTGCACACCCCTGCCGCGGCAAAGAGTTCTCGAAGCTGGCAAGCTTTGCCCTCAACCCTCAACCCTTAAATGCAGAAACTCAATCGGCCGAGGGCAGAGAATCATTAGCGGTCAGCATGTGAAGACGTTTTGTTGCGGAACTTGTGCTGATGAGACAGGTAATGCTGCTTTTTGGAGACCGCAATGTTTACAACTGAACTGCGCAGTTTCAGTTGAGCAAATCAGAACAGCGCCATTTTGTTAATCACAGGACTTGTGTGGCTGGGTGTCTTTCATTGCTAGATTGTACTGTGCACAGTCAAACACAGGCCACTTTGTGACGGCTGGTTTGCCTGTCAGGGGCATATAATAGTGCCGGAGCCACAAGAACAGATGAGGTGCAAGTTGTTTTTGAAAATGCTTCGTTTTGCTGCGGGCATTGCACTTCCTCATGCTTTGATGATGGGATGATATTCCCACCAGATCCAATCCCAGAGTACCCAAAGTATCCCTGCAAATTCGAAGTTGAGTGGTTTTTAGCTTCACCTTTCTGGTCTAAGCTGGTTCGGGGCTTCGTCGGTGTAATTGTCGAATTTCATGAGCACCTTCGCAATGCTACACGAGTTTATGTTCGTTGCACATAGCATTTTAGATGTCGGCTGTGGCAGCATTCTTCATACTGTTGTGAGATTGGAATATTTGGAGCTTGCAGGGAGGGCAGCGGCTTCGCTCCAGCATGCATTCTATTTTAGTGGAAATCAAACAAGAGAGTGGTGTCCAGGACAGCACAACTTGTCGCAGGTACAGCAGCAGCTTGCTAGCTCAAAGAACGAGAAGGAGCTGCGTGGAGCTGCCATCCCGCCCGTGTTCATTGCACCCACCCCCCCGATGCAAACAGCTTCAGTAGCTTCTCAGTAGATTCCTAGAACTACTTTAGGAGGCTTCGCTATTCACACTCCCGAAATCTGGAGGCTGCTGCGCCGAAACCTGCGCAGCCAGAGCAGGCCCGCTGTGACTAGAATCTTCCTGTGAGACGCAAGGGCTGTCAGCGGCTTGCTTGATCCGCATGCCAGGAATCTACAGATTCTTCCGAAGTGGTCTTACCAGCAGAGGCACAGAGACCTCAGCAAACCACGGAAGCAGCAAGGCCTGAAACCGCAGCTGGAGTTCTTGAAGTTCAGCCCGAAGCGCCGCCCAAAGCGCTGCCCAAAGCGCTGCCACTTCCCGAAGCGCTCCCGGAAGCGCTCCCGGAAGAGCTGCCAGAGGGGCTGGCGGAAGGGCTGCCGGAAGGGCTGCTGGAAGGGCTGCCGAATGCCAAGGCGGATGGCAAGCTGGATGGCTTGCCAGAAGCGAGGCCTAGAGCAGTCGAGGAAACCAGCAAGGTCATCGTCCCGGAAGTGCAGACACCGACCAGAACGCAGCCAAAGGCTTTGTCGATCGAAGTGATCAGGATGTCCGATGCGCTACCTCAAGCAAGAACAGGTCCAGTTGTTCCAGGCCGAGGGCCAGTTTTGTGCGGGGAACACCTCAAGCCACATTCAAAAAGTTGCAATCAGAATGCACTGGTAGCAATTTAGGTCCACATGCTTGAACCAGAATTGCCCCTGGAAAGGTATCTTGCAACCAGGTGCTGTTCCGAGATTGCTGACACCACAATCTCCAAATTCACCTACGTGCTCGAACAGATCCGACGACAAGCTTGGGGACGGGGAGGAATTTGAGACAAGGAAGGATGTAAAGACGCTCTTTGTTCAGTGCTTCAAAGACGATCTTACCCAGGAGCGGCAATTGCTCATGTCACAGATTAACAACCTCTTCAAGCTTCGGAACAACGGCGAGGCACTTCAATACAAGGAGGCCGGGTATGAGAAGCTTCACAACTTCCTCACAGACATTCCTGGACTTTGCCTTATTGGAGCTGGCAACCGTATGGAGCCTCTGCAGCATTGTGCCCTGCGTTGCTTTGCGTTGCCCGAGAGCCTGCACTTGCCCCATCCTAGCGAAACTCCTTCGTCAGGAGCTGAAGCTCAATGATCGAGACAGCTTCGAGCGGTGTTGCGATCAACTGCTTGACGGACGAGCGGACTTGCCCATCTTTGACCAGCCAAAACCGGTACCCGAAAGTTTCCAACACAAGGCAGTTTGGATGGGTCGGTTGGTCCATGTTGATTGATCCCCTCTTTATTTTGTTAAGGCAGCGCAGACTAGTCGTAGTCAGCGTAAATGTGGGGGAGAAATGAAAAAGATAGATTCAGTTGATTGGGCGAAGGTCATCGAGGTTTTCCGACGATGCGGCAGCCGGGAGATCCCTGCGAAGAATTTCCGTGATCTGTGGAATTGCTTCTTTCCTCATGAGAAGCTCCAGTGCAAGGACTGGGCACGTTTCGGCAGTGACATGCGCTTAACTTTGCTGCTCATGTTCTCGGCTCTTTCGCGCACATCTCGGTTCTAAGTTTTGGCAGCTGGCAAAGGCCGTCGGCAGGCAGAAGCAGTATGAAGCGGTCCAAAAGGGTTTGGGGGGGATGACTATCGCAGCAGGACTACGGCTACCGAGACGTGAAGGGACTCTTGGCCAATATCCCGGTGGTCGAGAAGGCTTGGAATCTAGAGTGCAAGCAGATGAGTTCGACTCAGAGAGCTGCCTTCTAGTCGAGAGTGAACAGACATGTTT